GCGGGTGGGTGACTACTTTGATCGGTCTGTGAAGAAACCGAGGGATTGCGGTATCGTCCCTTATTAAACAGTTCTACTGTAAAGTGCTCAATTTCGGGCACAGGTCATAGGGGTACCAAATCAGTGGAGCTATTCCCTCTGCAGAGGATCAAAATTGTGACAGCATGTCTTCGGTTCATTTTCAGACATGTTCTCAGATGTCTAGTGTAACGTAAATAAAATATTACTACCACTTAAAGGTTGTTGTAGTTCATTTACGTCGCACTAGAGCTGCACAATGGGCTATTGGCGACTGTCTGGGAAGCATCCCTGAGGATGATCCGAAGACATGCCATCCCAATTTTGATCCTCTGCAGAGGGGGTAGCACCCCCGCTTTGGTAGCCCAACGACCTGCACGCGAAGTTGAGCACTTTACGGTAGAACAGTTTAACGAGGACCCTACTGCGAGGATCAGTCTGCGTAGGGACCAATTTTCAAGAACTTAACGAGGGTCCTCGTTGAAATTTTCCCACTCAAACTGAATATTTTCCTTAAATTAAAGCAAATAATAATTATTACTAAATTTAGATTAATACTTATAATGGCCAAGTGATTAAGATCTTAAAAGTTCTTGAAAATTGGCCCCTACGCAGACTGATCCAAGTGGTCACCCACCCGCACACTGACCGCAGCCAGTGATGTTTGACTTCGGTGATCTGCTGGGAACCGTGTCTTAATGATCTGTCCACTGCGGGACACTACTTGAAGGAGTTTGGATTTTAAAAAGTAATTATAGTTCCTAAATTAAAATTTCAATTTTTGCAATTAAACAATATTACCGCTACTCTCCTTCTGATTAAAGAACCTCCCTGGCTGAGCTGTATAGTCCGATAACACTCTGTAACGTAAAGGTAGCAGGCTCTTAACCCTATATGCGGTAGCATAGCCCTGGATGTGTCTTCGTGCTGTCATTCTCTGAATTATATGTTTTTGTCAAGTAGAAAAACGGATAGCGAATAATCGTGCTAATAAAATTAAGCATACAAGCTTATATGTATGTGCACGATTAAATAAATAAGTAAATCCTTCAGAATAAATAAAAGAGGTGTCACCCGCCAAACGCTGTACGAAGCGTGGCGTTAGCGGGCTCAAATCCCGCGGTAACTCTGGATGTGATGCCTTTCTCTGAATTGTTCTACCTGTCCTTCTCCTTAACAGAGGTTTATATGCCTAAATTGATCACACAAGCCTGCAAATGTAGGTACTTTATTTATGTCGCACTAGAGCTACACAATGAGCTATTGGCGATGGTTCGGGAAACATTCCTGAGGTTGATCCGAAGACATGTTATCGCAATTTTGATCCTCTACAGAGGGGATGGCTCCTCGATTTTGGGGTAGCCCGACGATCTGCGCGAAGTCGAGCACTTATTTAAGGTAAGAACAGTTTAACGAGGATCGATACCACGCACCCTCGGTACCTTCGCAAACTGATCAAAGTTGTCATCCATCCTCTTGCTGACCGCAGCCAGTGATGTTTGACTTCGGTGTTCTACTGTTAACCGTGTCTTTAGAATCAGTCTACCGCGGGACAAGCTGCAATTGTATATAATTCTAATAACGCAATAATAAATAAATCGAAAAAGCAAAAGGAGAAATGAACAAAGTTGAACTTTTGAGGTAAGTGTTTTGTATTTAAAACTTATGCTTGCTTTGCTATACTTTTTAACATGCGATAGGAAAAATTGTGCTTGATGTTACTACTCTTAACTCATGGTGTTAGTGCCATGGATTGAATCTTGCTCGTTTTGCTAATATAATTTGTCATGTGTATTTTTATTTAAGACGATCTTGCATTACTGGGATTATCTTTAAGAAAAACTCGACTGATCGATCAAAATCAGTTTTAAATTATTTTCTATAATTTTTAAAAAAAAAAATAAATAAGAAATGTTATTAAAACGTGAATAAAAGTAGTTATTTAGTTTCGTACTACTTAACGTCCTAAATAAAAAGAAATCGTAAATGACTAAATAAAAAAGGTTCAATTAACATATCTGTACTGGAAAAAAAAACACCAGTTAAAATAGTCTGAAACAAACAATAACGAAAACAGTACTTGAATTAAGAATCAGATTTATTTTGATATTATAAAACACTTGTTTTTAAACTTTATGAAGTAAGTTAATTTATTTAAAAATAAGCTATATACAAAATATTAAGCTATACAAATAAATATAATTTCTAATATTAATCAAAAGCGAAGTGTTTTCAGTCTCCCTTGCCCCACAATATAACTCGTAATAAATGAAAATTTCATCACATTTTGACCTGCAATGCAAAATGCTTAATTAATAAGTTTTTGCAAACTTCAAATTGTGCGTTTTTAAACAAAATTTTTCCAATACGATCATTTATTCAATTTTCATGCGATTTGGTTAAATTTCATAGCATTTTTATACTCAACATATTTTAGATATTTGAAATCGCGTTTATAACTGTACATGCTTAAATACTATTTTAAAGGTACTTTGCATTCAATATATAATCATTTTGTTAAAAAATTTTGAAAAATGAAAAATTTTTGTCATCGACTGTCGTAACACGATTTAAAAGTTAACATTTTTATGCATTTAGCAACTCGTTAGCTGATATTCACTGATCCATTGATTGGTTTTCTTCTTTATTGGCTTCATTCTCTATTCTTACTTTATTCACTCGTTATACTTATATAAAATCGTTCATAATACCAGGTCGCATGAACAGAATATGCAATAAAATATTTATGAAGCTTATTATCCTAAAAATAGTCGTTTAAAATAAATTAAAAATGACCTCGTATTAAATACATTAACAAAAGAACGGAGGAATATGAATATTGCTATCAAATAATTTTTGGGAAAGATTAAGTATTCCCTACTCAGACTAATATAGGTTTACAAAACTATATACGAAATAAATAAATGAATGAAAACCTACGCGGAATGGAAATTACAAAAATAAATATTTAAATAAGTCAGATGAGAATAAAAAGTTGTACTGCTTGTTTTTCGGCAGATATTTGTTGAGAAAAAGAAATTTTACTTTAGTTTCCTAGAAATTCTTTTAATTATTTTAAATGTATATCAAATTACAAAACATACAAATTATTTTATAAATTAATATTTGTTTCTCAACATAAAATTTCAGATCTTTGCAATTATCTAGTCATTGCTGATTATCTTGGAAATTAATATTTCCGTCTTGTTTCTAAATTACCCAAATTTATCAAAAAATGTGCCGAAACTTGGATGAAAAACTTAAATTAAAATTAAATTTTGAGACGAAATAGGAGTATTTTTTCTACAAAAAGTATTAACATTAATAACATCAAATTCACATTATATTATGGATAAATTTGAGACCCAAGTTCGTGTATATATATATATAAAAAAAAAAAAAAAAAAAAAAAAAAAAAAAAAAAAAAAAAAANGGGGGGGGGGAGGAGAATAATCACCTTCAGATTTAATATTGCTTAAGTTTATCTTTGTATAAGCTAGTTTTTTATTGCGTGCGAAAAGTTTTCGATTGGCATTAAAAGTTACAAAATGCGTCGAACTAAGTAAAGAAAAAAAAAAAAAAAAAAAATATTGGAATTCATATTAAGTGGCCCAAACTTTTGCCGTTCGCTTATATAAAACCATGTTCTTTATATTGCAAGTACACCCACGTATTTATTTATTATTATAATGTTCTGTTTTTTCTTTCTTTTGCTTCCTGTACTACACTGTGGTAAACAAAACCTGGTTTAAATATTTGTTAGTCGGAAAATATTCTTTGGTACCATTAAAAGTTTTTGATTTGATGTTTCAAATTTGAATCATTAATCTGTTTTTTTTTTATGAACATGAAAGAATATAATGTATTTTTTTAATAAGCACGTTTGCATAAAATTAAATTTTCCTTTAATATCTATAAAAAAATTAACCTATTTAAGGCCAAGCCTAGTAATTTTATAAAATGTGGTATCATTTTCAAAGAAATATGCTTAAATTACATACATTATGACACAAAAGTAGTTTTGCGTATGAAAAATAATTCTTTGTATTTTATTTACAGAGCGTGCAACTTTAATCCTTAATAAAAAAAATATGATTAATCTCAAGTGGTAATTAAACGGTTTCAAAATGTCTAACTTGTAAACGTTACAAATTGGAATTAAAAAAACTAACGTATTTTGAAAATTTCTCAGCAGAGAATGGTTACTGCAAATGAATTGCTACTTATACAGTTTAAAATTTAAATAAAAATAAAAGTTTATTTTAAAAAAAATTTCAACAGAAAGTGTTAACTTATAAGTGTCTTCAGGACCATTAAAACTAGCAGAAAAATAAAATTAGTGAAATAAAAAGTATACATAAAAGTGTCAAATAATATTAAAATGGTGCACAGTGAAAAAAAAATCGGTTAAGGAAATATTAATATAATATGGTTAATATAATCTTAATATGGTTGTTGTTGTAAATCATTTACGTCACACTAGAGCTGCACAATGGACTTGGCGTCGGTCTGGGAAGCATCCCTGAGGATGATTCGAAGACATGCCATCACAATCTTGATCCTCTGCAGAGGGGATGGCACCAACCCCCCTTCGGAGGCCCAGCGACCTGCACGCGAAGTTGAGCACTTTACGGTAGCACTGTTTAACGAGGATCAATGCCGCACACCCTCGGTCCCTACGCAGACTGATCCAAGTGGTCACCCACCCGCACACTGACCGCAGCCAGTGATGCTTTACTTCGGTGATCTGCTGGGAACCGTGTCTAAGTGATCAGTCCACTGCGAGACTAATCTTAATAGTAAAAAAAAAAAAACTCGTGAGAAAATCTGCTTCAGCCGAGTTCAAAGACAAATCCAATCCTTTACTTTTTGTCAGTGTAAGTTCTTAAGTGGAAGCTAAAAGCTTTTGTTCTTAAGTGTAAGCTAAAAGCAGTTTCAATCAATCAACCAATTTATTCTTTAAAAATAGAGGCTACAAGCGAAAAGTGTAGGTTCACTCGGATTTCAATTAAATCAACCACTCAACATGTTTGTTATCATTTTGTAAACATGAGAGAAACGTGAGGAACATTTACTTTTTGGATAAATATATATTATAAGTTATAAGGAGATATATTTTAAAAGTTCTCAATTTTAATTGCCTCACTTGATTTTAATTACTAGTTTCGTGATTTCACAATGGCAAAGCCTTTACTTACCTACAATTTTTCAAAAGACTTAACTCTGAAAGAAAATTTTACGGTGCAAAACCAAGGTTCAGAGGCAAAAATTTATATTGGTACATTTCTCGAGAAGCCTTCTATTCTAAAAGAACGATTTTCTAAAAAGTATCGTCATCCCGATCTTGATAAATTACTCACATCGGAGCGCATTCGCGCTGAAGTCAGAGCTCTCAACAAATGTCACGAAATTGGTATAAAGTGCCCTGCTATTTATTTTGCAGACTTACAGGCTCGCTCTATTATACTTCAAGAAATAACCGGCTCAATAACTGTCAAAGAATATTTAAAATCTGTTCAAACGGAACATGGAATCGATGGAATTAATACCTTAACACCTTTAGCCCAGAAAATTGGTGAAGGTATTTCTAAAATGCATAAAAATGAATTGGTTCATGGCGATCTTACAACCTCTAATCTACTTTTGAAAAAAGACCATTTAGATGATATTTCCGGGGGTTCTTTTGATGTTTATTTTATTGATTTTGGTTTGTCAAAGAGAGACGTTATGATTGAAGATAAAGCTGTTGATTTGTATGTGTTAGAACGTGCTATTTCGAGTTCTCACCCAAACTCTGAAAAATTCTATTCTGCAATACTTCAGCAGTATTTAAAGACACTTGGTAAACAATCTTCAGCTGTAGCTGATAAATTAGAAGAAGTTCGTCAGCGAGGTCGGAAAAGGTCGATGGTAGGATGATGTATTGTGATTAAGATAAATAAATAAGATTTGCCTGCTACTTTTGCTCTGTTTTTATATTTAAGCAATGAGTATGTTTCATCAAATAATGATATTTAGTAAATTTAATTCTTTCTTAGATTTAAAAATTTATTTAAATGAGCAGAATATACATACATTCCTTTTGTAAAATAATTATTGAATTTAATAGGAGTTCCATTTATCTAGATATAAATCAACTACTTGAATTTGAGGTGTTAAATAAATGAGTATTTTAACAATTAAAACAAAATGTCTGAAACTAAAAATGATAATTTCACTTTCATGAGATACCAAGTATCTACGTATCACTTCAAAATTAATTTGGGCATTATTAAAATATCTGCGCTATGAAGAAATGCATTGAAAAAATAAACACTCTGACAATCCTTTAAAAAAATATAATTGTAGTGGATTCAGGACAAATATATGGATAATTGCACTTCACCAATGAAGATTTTGTGCATCGCTTAAAAGTTAATATGAAAATCCACAATTTATCAATGTGGTAAGTTCATACTGGGCAATTCCACTTAAACTTAATACCTTCATTTTGTTTTTTAAGTCAAAATCTTTGCCCCTCCTATTTTTCCGATCATTACACATATTTCATCTATGCAAATACAATTCAAACTTCGCATTTTTAGTTATTATCGCTGATGTTGGCAAGAAAAAAAAATTAGCTTGGTTGGGGTTTCCACAGGCCACTAAAATGAAACTATTTTCGGCCTGAGGAGACTATGGCAGCTTTTTTTGCCTGAAAAAGCAACTATTTGCAGGAAAAGGAGACTATAGGGATACTACTAGCAATGTTTTTTGACATGAATTGTGTTGACAACCTGCGGCCCTTGGGAGCTTCTGAACACAGTGATTTTTTTTTTCTTAATAAAAAAAATTTGAACTGTGAATTTGAGTAATCACTTTTTAATGCGCTCAAATTGAACCGATTCCATTGTTAATCTATTTTGCTTCTCGATCACCTTTTCAACGATTATGCTGCGAAACTCTGCACGATTTTAAGAAACCTAATTTTTAATATGATACGAGGGTTGCTATTTATATTTCTGGTCTAATAATGAAAAAACAAATATGTAGGATCGAAATTGGTTTTCTTGTTTTTCAAAATATTCTCCATGATGATCAATACACTTTTGCATGCGTTTGGACCAATTTTCAAAGCACTTTTTCCAGTCCGATTGAGGTAACTCCAAAACATGCGTTTTGAATGCATCAACCGCTTCTTCGGGGGTCGAAAATCGTTGTCCACGTAATTTATTTTTGATGTGTGGGAATAAGAAGAAGTCATTGGGTGCCAAATCAGGGCTGTACGGCGGATGACCCATCAGTTCGATCTTTCGCTCCGTCAGAAATGCCTTTGTTTGAGTCGATGTGTGAGAGCTCGCATTGTCATGATGAAGAATGATTCGCCTGTTCTTCTGCTTTTTTCGAATTTCTCCGATGACTTCTGGCAAACAAATGGTCGTGTACCATTCAGAATTGACCGTCCTGCGTTGCTCTAACGCCACTGTTGCCACATGACCGTTAATGCCGAAGAAACAGGCAATCATTTGTTTCGATGTGCTTCTTCCTCGAACAACTTTTGTTGGTTTTGCCTCGTCTTGGAAGACCCATACAGTTGATTGCTGTTTTGTTTCCGGCTCATATGCATAGATCCATGATTCGTCACCTGTGTAGATGTTATACACAGCCTTTGATGTACCTTGAACGTATTTTTCCAACATTTCCTTGCACCAATCGACATGAGCCTTTTTTTGAGAGTTTGTCAGATTATGCGGGATCCAACGCGAAAAAAAATTTTTTACGCTCAAATGTTCATGCAATATTTTATTGATGCTAGTCATCTAATGTCCAAAGACTCCTCTATCTCACGGTATGTCACATGACGATCTTGCTTTATCAGTTCACGCACAGCATCAATCTTTTCTGGCACAACAACGGATTTTGGACGACCTGCACGGGATTCGTCCTGGATGGAACATCGACCACGATTTAATTCGTTATACCAATTTTTTACGTTGCTGTAGGATGGCGCTTTATCGCAGAATAAAGAATTAAGTTCATCGAAGCACTCTTGTCTTGACAATCCTCGTCGAAAGTTATGAAAAATAATGACACGAAAATGTTCACAATTCAATTCCATTTTTTGAAAGAGAAGAACTTTTCAATTTACTGTCAACAACACAAATGAAGCTATAATGGTAAATCATCTGCTGAATTTATGTTTAAAAATATCAAACTTTCGATTAAAATCGTCTGCGGTCGCCTAGCAACACTTACTGTTGCCAAGGCTAGAAATATAAATAGCAACCCTCGTATTACAATTCATGAATTTTGAATTTCAATAATTACTTTTCACAATATATATATATATATGTTTCCTAAATCAATTACTGATAAGAGGGAAAATTTGTTAGAACATGTATGTTTTCTTTAAAAAAAAATTTTTTTTGAATGAATTCTAGTACTTAAAAGTATTAAATTTTTTTGCAAGTATATACTAATTTTTTTGATCTAAAATTTAGTGCTAGAACATCCTTCTTAAATTTAATTTATGAAATTATTTCATGGCCCTTCAAAGGTACTTTTCTCATCTGTGATTCTTACTTTTGTTCAACATTTCCATTGTTAAAAAGTCATTCTGCTGTAGAATTTTTATCTGCAAATTATAATTCTTATTTATTTTTTGATAAAATAACAAATGGCTGTTACTTTTAACAGTTACTCTTTTTCAAGTAATATTTCTTACCCTACAAGTGAATTTAAAATTTAATTGACAAAGCATTATCCTAGTTATTAACAGGGGTCAACACTATGGAATTATAAAGATCAATTTGTACATTTCCATCATTTTCTTATATTTATTTACCAAAATTGGTATCTAAATTTCCAAATGTTAATTTAGAATTTTGGTATTGTTTTGGTCTATATTAGGTGATCCCCATAACGTGAAATTTACTTACAAGGGAAACTAGGGAAGAGTGACTCGCCAATTTTGAAATAAACTAGTGGGATGTGTGCCTTATGAGGAATAATTTTAGGGGGAAACATTCGTTCCCGCCCCTAGAAGGTCCAGTGAGAGATAAAAAATAGAAAAATCGGTATTTTATTACTTCAATACAGACTATTAGTTATTGTAATTGTCTCATACTCCAATTAATTTTGTGGTGCTTTCACGTACTATATAATGCATATTTATTGTCGAAATTGATTTCGAAAATTTTATATATCTGTTGTTTTTCAGAAAAACCTGTTAGGTTAATTTTTAAAAAAAATTTACGTCAAATTTTTTTTCCAAAAAACTTTTCAAATTAGTTGGAGTATGTAATTGCAAATCAATTAACAATTAATTTTCTGATTGATTTATTAATTAGCAAATTAATTAAGTATCCAATTAATTACAAATTAATTGGAGTATGAGACAATTACAATAACTAATAATCTGCATTGAAGTAATAAAATACCGATTTTCTATATATTGAATTATTTTTTATCTCTCACAGGACCTTCTATGGGCCGAAACGAATGTTGCCCCCTAAAATTATTCCTCATAAGGCATACATCCCACTAGTTTATTTCAAAATTGGCGAGTCACACTTCCCTAGTTTCCCTTGTTAGTGATTCTGACTTATTTTCAATGCGCTAACAAGAGTCTTTTTTTTGTTATAAAATTGATTTTTGATTATTATTATGCATTCCATCTATGTTAAATTTTATTGACAATTTTACTTTTTAAATTCGATAAGTTGTGTACTATGTATTTTATGTTGAATGGGAGAAAAAGAATTTCATATTAAGAATTCCGTAATTAATTTATTTAGTTGAAACAAGTTAACTAAAAATCCTCTAGTTACGAAATCGCAGAATGGTGTCATCAGTGCAGACCATGTTTTGGAAGATTCCAAAACATTTTCATTAAATTATCACCTTAAGACATTTTCTCATAGAATTTGGTAAAGAACACTCACTCACTGCTGAGTGATATATTATTGTTCTGTTGGCTATTACAATCCCCAAATCTACCCTCTTGTTTTTTCCTATGGGTTTTGTTAGTCCTAATAATACTTAGAAAATAGATTGAAATCTAAATTTTGTATGAAATATGTATTTATTTGAAATAATAATAATAAATTACCTTAGTGTTATTTATTATAAAATTCCATTATTGCCTTTATGATTACGTTAATCGATAAAGATTTGGAATTAGCAATTAAGATATTTTATTAGAAATGATTCAAAACCAATAAAAATTAGGTTTTAATATTAAATTTCTTTTTGGCTTTTCAGGTTAGTTTCACTATCTAAGTGTCCTAGTCTTTCATGTTGATATTATATTATAATAATTTAATCTTATTTAAATAAAACTTTGTATTACAATTGAAATATTATTAAAAAATATTTCAAATATTTTTTAGTCTCTAAATTTTTTTACCTCTTGATCTATTTTTAATATATCAATCTTATTAAAAGTTTAAATAACTTGCAGTAAATTATTATTATAGATTGCATAATAATTTACTGCTAATTATTAATTAACTAAAACTTCATACTTTTATACCCATGAAGCAGCATTTTGACACAAATATTATTAGTTTATAAATTTGCTGCACAAGGAATAGGTTTCTTTGTCTTTCAAACGCATTTTTTTTAAAAGAAATTTTTAGGCTTTAAAAATTATTCAAGCCATTGTTTATAGTTCCACGAAATGGTAAATAGTTTCAAAATTGTGAAAATATCTTTTTTGTTTACAATTAAAATAGCCAATATGATTTTTCCCCCTAAAGTTACAAAATATATAAGATTAAGGCAATAAGCAATGAACTTAAAACTGAAATGATAACTTCTTATCTAAGTTTGCCCATTTAATTTCAAGCCATATTTTAACTCCATATTAATGGTCCACATCTGATAAAAAGTTTTATCTGATAGTACTAAAAATAAAGTGTGATATGTGGGTTAGATAAAGACAAATTAAGGCATTTAGACAAATAAAGAAAATTTTTTATTTTTGACTAGAAAACTGTACATATAATATTATAGAAAAATACTTTTCTCACAAACAGGAATTTTACAAAATGTAATTACTAATTTTGTAGCAGAGCTATTTTTTTTTCTTCTATTAACAAAAATATTTTTAGTACTATATTCTTTTGTGATATTGGAAAACAAAATCAAATATTTAAATGACATTTTACATATAAAAAAGAATCAATGTTCTCAATTTAAAAAAAAACTAAGAATAGTATTAAAATAGTAAAGATTAGTAAAAATAATAGAGTTCTTAAATTTAATTACAAAATAATAAAAAAAATTTAATTATCTACTTGTGAAAAATAAGAGTTCATCTACAAATTTCAGAAAAACTATAAAAAATAAGTTGTTTACAAACTGAATGAATATGTAATAAAGAATAAAAAGTAATTAAAAAATTGAAATTTGCCAGAAATTAGAATAAAAATTATTTTAATTTGGGAATGATAGTAAAGCAATTTAGGAATACATCGGAATGTAAAAATTATATACCAGTAGGTATCAGTATAATTAAATAAAAAAAATTGGTCTCTCAGGAAACTTTTTCCATTAACATATGATACACAATATTCAGAGTTCTCCCTAGAAATAAAAAAGGCAGGGGGCTGTCTCACTAAAAAGGGAACTTTGAGTTTTGAATGGGCACTCACTTAACAACATAAAAATTTATCAAATGTGTAATAATTGAATTTGATCCTCAACAATTTTTAAATTATCCTTGTGTATTATTTTTGTAACTCAAAAAGTAATACTCATTATCAAAATAAGATAAAAACTTGTAGTTAATAAAAAATAATTAAAGAGCATCTCTAAGCATTAATTTTTTTTTTATAAAAGCAAACTAAAAAAATGGTTTATTGATAAACTTGAAAGCTATATTTAACTTGATTTCTATAATTTAAACTGAAAATTGTGAAAAAATAAACAAAGGTGCGTTTAAAAAAAAGTATTTATTTTAAAATCACTTAAATCTATTAATATACCTCCCCCCACAAAAAAAAGAAACTTATAAAAATTTAACCAGTTGAGAATAATCCTAACAAAGTAAATATTAGTAATAGTAATCAGAAGTAAACTTATAAATACAGATAATTTCACCAGTGTTTAATTATTATTTAAACAGCGAGTTATAATTTTTTTAATGGAATATGAATAAAAAGGCACTGTTTTTAAGGGATGGCAACTTATTTTTATAAGAAGGGCACATTTATAGAGATCAAAAGGGAAATAGGGTGGGCGGCTCTTTTAAAAATGCTGAGGGAGAGCACTGATATTTTTAAATTTCTTAGCATAAATAAACAAATCTCATAATAAATATTTAAAGACAATAATAAGCATAAATCATAAAATATTTTTTTCACATTTGTTACAAAAGAACAAATAATAATAAAACATAATTGATAAATAATAAATATTTAGATAAAAATTATAAACTTACAAACCTTATAAAACAAAAATATCATGTAAAAATAAAATTTAATTGAAAACGAAAACCACAAGATTTCAAGAATCTCATGATTTTATAAAATTAATGTTGAAATTTAATATTGTAATTTTTATTAATTTAGTAAAACATGTGTTTTAAACTTCTACTTTTATTTCGTTTTTTTAGAAATAAAAATAAATAAGTTTACTTAGTATAAGTAATAATTTCCTGATTAAATAAAATTTTTGCTAGGTAATGTGAACTGTGGGGTATTTCTAATAATTTATCTACCCCAAAAAATAGAGAAAGCTTGAAGTGTTGCTTAAAAATTGTACCTCTCACACTAAATTTACTTTTAATAAGAAAAATTGATTACAAATTCTGATAAAGAAATTAGGAGGTGTCAATTAGTTAAAGTTATATTCATACTAAAAAAAATGTCTATTTGTTAAAGTAGTTGTCAAAGTTTTCTTTTGATTTTCTAGATATAAGAGAATGTTATGTTACTTAGTGAATATTATGTATTATTTTTGTTTCATAAACCTAAATTTTCAAGCTAGCTAGAAAATAAATAACAAAAACTTTGAATTTCACAATTTTTTCTCTTCCTTTTGGCATTCAATTGAAGCATTTTCATTATACACTAAAATGCCTCCAAACTTTATTTTTGAATTAAAGTTCTAAACACCACAACCTTGATGTAGCATAAAAAAAAATCTTTTGCCTATGAGTCAATTCAAGTTTACAGCGCAATTCCATATACAAGTACCGAATGCAGTATTTGGAATCAATCTTGAGTGAAGCATAAATAAAATGAAAATAAAAAGTTTTAGCAACTTTGAAATTAATGTCAATACTCCAGTGAAGTTTTATGAGTCATCAGAAATGAAGTGGAATTGTTTCCTCAGGTCATCTCCTATGTCCGATACCAATTTACAGTAGTGTATAGCAGAGCTTCTGTTTTTGATTGACAGTAAGTATTTTGAATAATCCATAAAAATAACATCTATATCTTGAGGTAATGAAATGTTAAGAACGACAACTTGAAACAAAAAGATACTAATCTTTTTTTTAGTATACAGGGTTTATATAAATGATTGGTTGCATTTTAAATATTTATATTATCAAAACAAAGACTCAAAAATAGTGCATAAAATTAAAATTATATATATATACTTTTTGTTTTTTAGTTAAAAATGTTCAAAGTATAGCTTTTTTAGTGCAAGATGAAGATCTAATTTGTGATTAAGCTTGTTCTGTACATTTTGTATTTTAACAGTGTAAATAATTCTCCTAATGCTACACTAAAGAGTTCTCGCAGTGCATTTAGCGTTGAAAGCTAGTAAACATTGTCTTTGTATAGCCTTGTGAAAAGGAATCACATGGCATGGGTTTGGAAACCTTGGTGCCCATGTGACTGTAGGTAAATCATTGTCACCTACACAAGAGCGGGACAAAAAAAGTTAATATTTAATTATGAAAAGATTTAGTACGTAAAAGCTGCCTATTATAATAAGTATAAAAACAACAAATTAAAAAAAACTGTTTTCTGTTTGTACATCAAAGTTAAAATTAACGAAAACTTGGAAAAAATCAATTGTTTCAATTTTTGTTTTTTACATTGCCTGCAATTTCTGAAATAAATACACTTTAGTTTAAATAACCTAAATAAATGAAATACTGATCAATAATTTAATTTTTTATAGCTTGTGTTGAATTTTAGAACCAGAAGTTTACCAATTTTTCTTAATTTTCACAGTATATCTCTTTGCTCATTATGTTAGATTAGAACAACCCTGGTACTCACTATGTGGAGATGGTTGCACATTAATTTCCACCTGCACTCTACTCAACTAGCCACCTAATATTTTGAAGGGTTATTTAGATTATATACATAGATTTTCAATAGAGTTGGATTTCTTGGTTTATCCGATGGTGAGCCTGACAGCAAGGAGATTCGAATCTACAATCCTTCTAGCACTGAGGAATTTTACGCCATCACTGTGGTTGGCGCAAGCCAGTTGCGGAATTCGAATCGACCTACCATTGCTGAGATTCGAACCCATTTTACCTCATAATTTTTTTCGAGTATTATTAAACAAAATAATAGAAAAAATATATTTATTGGAATCGTCTTTGGATAAACAAATTTTATAATTGTGCGTTCGAAATTTTTTCAATTCGCTTAAAAAGTGCTTGAGATATGACAAAATAGGCAAAAAATAAAATTAACATTTAATGGTTCAATCTTTGAACTTCTCTCCTGACCTTAAACTATTGGGACCCAGTTTCTTAAATTGTGGCTTTCTCCATATCTGAGTCCATTAAAAAAGTTATTCAGAGAAAGTACGTTTTTGTGACTTAAATTATTGTCTGCACTAATTATTTAGCATATTTGATGTCCCCTTCTCAAAGCATTAAAATTTAGTTAGAGAACGCGAAGATCCGATTATTAGATCAAAAGTCATTTAAAGTGGTTTGTTTTATTTTTTACTTTGTAGAAGACTGAAAACCAGCAGAAGTGGGGAGTTTAATGGGAACAATTTCCAAACAGAGAGTTATCCACTCAAATCAACTTCAGAGACAATTAAGTTCAAGGAATATTTAGTCAGTTGTGGATTTGAAGCTTGCATTTCAATTGGTGGTTGTTGTTTAAATTTGCATTATTCAAATTTCTTTATTTTTTGCTCGCAATTGTTTCTTTCGTTTTCTTCAAACGAGCAACCGTTCATTCTCACGGTTCATTTTCCCACCCCATACTGAATTGTTAAAAGTTGTTTGATTTGGAAAGTTAAATTACCCTTTAGAGTTGAGACCACAATGTTTGTAGCAGCCTGTATCGGTTAACAATAAAATTTTATCAAATATATCTATATCTATAAAAGGATATAGTTATCGGGTGTTTTAGTCAACAAACCGAATTCCAAAGTGGCTTGAAGAAACAGAGCTGCTCTTTCAAACATACCAAATGAATGCAAAAACTTGATCACAGTCCAAAATTCCTGAATGGAAAGCACAGATAAAAGTGCCTTATTCTGAAATTGAAAAATGAAGAAAATCAAATTTTACCAACTATTATTTATTTATAATGTGAATTATAATTGTAATATAAATTATTTAGCAGCTTAAGCTATATAAACTGTCTTATATAACATAGTGTATTGGATAGCTTAAAATATTAACATTATGTAAATAGTGTAGATTATGGCTCTGAATACAATGAATGTTAGGGATTTAGTTAAAATGTATATGCAGATTATAGTTTAATAATTTAAATTTTTACATTCATTGCTGCAAGCATTAAATGACAGAAACTCAGTAGATTTTTAAAAAATATGTAAACGAAATTTTTTGTCAACTATTGTACATTATACAATTCAAAAATTATTCAAAGTACATAGATTTTTTAAAAATCATCTATTCTAAAAAAACAAACAAATCCTACAGGAAGCCTTACTGTCCTCATCTGATGTCAGCAGAATGTGACTATTTTTATCAGTCTTGCCTCTATAATGGATTAATCCATTGAATGATTTTTTATAAAATTTAAACATCTCAATTTCAGATATAAAAAAAATTCTATCATAAATCAATGTCATTTTTAGATCGTTTTCTTCTTAACTCCTGGATGTTTTTGTTTTCTTCAAATTTTGATGTTATAATACAAGAATTTTGAATTTGAGTAGCACTGTTTTACGTGCTTGATTCGCAGTGATTCCATCTTAAAAACAAGCCATTTTCCGATTGTTTTTGGCATTTTCACATCGGTTTTCAAACTTTAATGTTTTGAATATGATGTTATAACAACACAGGATTTAAAATTTCAGTTATTGCTGTTGGACACGTTTGGCTTGCTGCAATTTCATCGCAAAAATATGTATTTTTTAGATCGTTTTCCCCTTATTTCGATGAAGTTTGCGATGTTATTATGCCAAGTAAATTTAGAATTCCAGTCATCACTTTTTGACGTGCTGGGCTCTCAACGATTTTGTTGTAAATCTACCTCTTGTTTCGATTGTTTTTTCGGCAGTAATTTGTTGCATTTGACAATTATAACTTTTGATATTATAATGGTATGCAAAAGTTAGAATTATCACTTCTCGAGACGCTTGAAAAGGAAATAAACATCAGGACTTTGTCGAAAAAATTGTGATTTTTATTACCCTTTTTTAAATTCATGACTTGGTGACAGCCTGTATGTAACTAAATTAAAAATTTAAAAGTTTTTTTTGTTTGTGATAGACATTAAATACACTTGAGTAAAAGTTCATAAACAGCTTTGTTGAAAATTTTACAATTCATTAAAAAATGAAAAATTATCAATGAAACAATAAAAAAACCGAAATTTAAAATTCAATTTTAGAGAATTTTTAAAAATCTATAGTTTTTATTTAGACAAAGGGACCTGGAAATGTCCGATAAGTTATAAGAAAATTAAGTTTAAATCGGGTAGTTATAAGCATTGTAAAAATTTCTTAACACAACCTGTTACTTAAAAAAACAAAGTATTAAGAAATATTTAGACAGAGTAAGTGTTATATTAAACTTTGGTATCATTTCTATTAACTTAAAAGGTAGAAATAGGTTAGCGATGAAAGATATCAAACTAGTGAAATGATGAGAAATTCCTGGCTGTAGTAGGTGAGGTTGTTTTCTGAACTACTTGTGCCATAAATATAAAGTGATTGTTTGACATAACCTTTCCTTAATCCAAGGAAAATAAATACATTTGCTTAGAAACATAATATCTATATAAAAACTAATATAAATATTTCATCAAAACTTACTTTTTGATCGATATTTGAAGAGCGTAAGTGATCTGCCCAACGTTTCAAAATTTCTCGATTTTCAGCTACTGATAATGTGGACTAAAGAATTAAAGAACAATAATTAATCTGTAAATATGAAAAGTAGAAACAAAACACAGTAATATGATAGTACAAATAAGACATAATTAGGCTTTTATTTCAGACTTTAGAAAACAAATTTCTGATATTAAATTTAAAAAAAAAATAAGTTAAAATGTTTTGAAAAGATTGTCAGAGAGTTTTGATCAATTTTGCTTTACATTCAAATAATTATCTTTTTGAAAAATATTTAGGAATTCAATTTATTTTTAAATTTATAAAATGTTGACAACATAATTTGTAGACCACCTTTATCATAATATCCAATATTTCCATTGTTTTAAGTAAAAAAACATCAAAAAACCTTTTATTAAAAAATTCACAAATAAGTTTCCTCTTATAGGATATGGATTGGATGGGATATTGAGTTTAATCTTGCAAGAGAAAAGTGCAACTATATAACAAATTCAAATGGCATTAAATACATTATGATATTGATCATAAATTGCTAATAATGAACCAGTCTTAAAAATAATAAATTTTGTCAATAATATAACAAATTAAATGAGTCTCATGAAGTAAGAATAATGTATTAAGAAAGAAATAAACACTCAGAGTTATGGGACTCATATTTACCTAAAGAACAGAACAAAAAAAAAGTATAAGTAATGGACATTTTTATTCATTATGTAAAATATGCTCAAAGATCAATGTGGATAACATGAGAGGCCTACTTTGTGGAAAAATGTCAAAAGTTATCTGGAACCATGAGTTTATTTTGTTTACAGTTACACCTTTAAAGCTTGTTTCAGGAAAAAATAAATAATTTAAAATCAGCGTTAATTGAAATATAAGCAGAGCCCAAGTCAAAATTCCAGAAAATTTCTTGAGTAAAAAAAAAAAAAAAAAGAGAGTTTAAATCGAAAAAAATTTAAACAAGGTTTTTTTCTCTTTCTCAATATTTCTTAGTTTACTTAAAATATATTTAAAATTTTACACATACCTATAATGACCTAGAGAAGTAATTGAAATTTACAAATACGTCTTTCTTTCTTGACTTTATGATTCTAATAACTATTTACTGATAAAAAATGAATATTAATCTTGAATATAAGCTTATAAAATATCTTTCTGGCTCTCCCTTACAAACAAATAAAATAAACTGTGTTTTTAAGTTCCACCTTTGAAAATTTGATTTCCGGAAACTTTTGCGATCAAGGATTTTTTAAAACGTCTGAACTTTCGGTCTCCGGAAATTTCCGGATCACGGTTAGCGAAAAATCCGGATTTTTTCCGGAGCACAATCAGCCCTGTATAAAAGAGCAAGTTATGTGCTAAAAATCTAAATTAATTGAAAATGGGTAGCACTTATTGATTTAGGAAAAGCATAAAAATCATTATAATATTATAGATGCTTAATTAATTTTGGTAAAAAAGTATACATTCAAGTTTAAAAAAAGGTTTTGTACTAGAAATCTAAATTAAGGGAGAATATGTATTTGTTAAATTAGAAGAACTGCATGATGTCCAAAAATGTGAAATTACCTTTGCCAGCCATACAGCTTGGTCCCATCGTTGTGATCCCTGTAAGTACCTGCAGCCATCGGATGCCTTCTCAATCAAACATAGTAGCTGTACACCCTCTGATATTCGACCACTGGCTATCAGATTGGTGGACACCAGTTTGATTATTGACTGGGAAGTACCAGACGACTGAACAGTCGCAATGAGGCACGCTCTGAAATACGAAACAAATAGGAAACATTAGTACTCTAATATAAGTAATGGACAGTTAATAAAATAAAACAACAAGCTTATATGATCAGCTTTTTTCAACAGAAATGAGCATAAAAAACAAAGGTTAGTGTACATTGCCATGTCAGATTTTAATTGTGTCAAACAAGGCATCAAAGTGCAATTTCTTGGCTCTGGTATTTTCCATACATGAAAAAATAATACATAGGGGAGTGTTGGGTACCTCCGCCCATTGTCAATTTCATATGTATGGAATATTTTTTCAAGTCAATGGGCCATCGGACATTAATTGTTATATTAAAAAAAGATTATTTTCAAAGTTTCAAGTATTTATGCAGCTGGTAACATGGTAAACAATAGTTTTGAAAATATGTTGAATACAGTAGTCATGATATTAAGAAAAATCGGTTGAATTTTGTGATAAAAATGATAAATGAAGTTTATCTATTGTCAATACATTGGTCATTTTCATTTACACCTGAAAAAACAGTCAAAAAACATAATTTTTGCAACTGGGCGGGCTACTCGACACATTTTGAAAAGAGCTGAAAAACATGTTTTTTTTTAATTTCTATTTTTTTAAGTTAAACTATTTTTTTCTTGGTTTATTCTTTTTGTATTATTTAATTAGATGATAAAACAATAGAAACATACAAAAATATTGATTATTACTCAATATTATACAGAAATATAAGCAATACTCCTTAAGTGGTCGGGGCTACCCGACTCTCCCCTATATTGGGTAAGAGTTTTATCCTTAACCTATTTTTTGTGTTTGAAACTACTTGTGATGTTATTGTTTTTAGTTTAATAAGTTCTCTAGAAAGTATAAGTAATGGACAAGTAAAATAAATATATTTTTAGGATAAAAGCAAAGGTTTTGATTTTTTCAACACAAGCATGACAAAGGTAAGGGGCATTTTCATGCTAAAACCTGATTGCATCAAAGACAACAGTCAAGGTATAAATGCGTCACTTCCTGGTTCTAATACTTGCAATAAATGAAAATTTACGTGTTTATTAGCCGTGAGTTTTGGATTTGGATATTTTTGTGATATTAGTTTTTCCAATTCCAAATCCTAGCTATTATCAAAACTTGGTTACCATTTTGATGAATGATCCAGTGCAAAAATCTTCCTAAAATTTCTTTAAGCACAAATTGTTGTTACTTTACTTACATTTACAAGTGTTAACTAAGAACATATAATTAAAAAAAATAATGTAGTTATAAAGTTAGAAAATTCAAAAATGTAATTTTTATGATGTTACAATTTCTAAATATTTACATTGTGTTATTCATTCTGCAATAAAGCACATCTTCATACAAAGTAAAATAATGTTCTTATTGGTTCTTATAAAATAAAGTTGTACAAATGATAAGCTTGATTATTTGCATCAAAGAATTAAAGAATCCTAATTCTATTGGTTTCTAAAAAGACTTCTTGTATCATAATCTATCTTTTGGATATGGTGCTAAGACCAAGCAAAGTTTTTAAATACTTATGATTGTTATGGCAATGAAATTTCTTTCGATATGACAAAAAGGGTTTTGCTTTTGCATTACAAATTGAAATGCAATAACTTTGAACTTGATTACAATTAATAATGGGTGAATAAAGATTTAATCTTTGATTCCTTACAATACATATTGCAGCAGAAAGAGAAGTACATGAAGCAAATACAAACATTTGGAAATCAACCTCAGTAAACAAATAAAAATTCAAACAAAAATGGCTTGAATAATTAAGAAATAACTCACGACTAACAATAAAATCACTAACTAAACTTTCAAATTCACCAACCTTAGGCAGTCTTCATAGAAATTATCATTTTCAGACTCAGTTTCAAGAAGCAATTGAACTGCTTGGTCAGTTTGACCTAAAAGCAAAAGACGCTCTGCACACTGCTGCGTTTGAGTATAAGTTGTTCGTTTGCTTAAGTGTAGACGTACTCTGTCCAATTGCAACTTCTAAAATGGTTTAAGAGATAAATAGGTTACTTTCACTGAGCCCATTACAGCTGAAATAACAATTTTACAATAATATTTTGAACATTAATAAAAAATAATGTGAAATCAATTGATAAATTATTAAAAATAATACTGTCTAAAAACCTTTTGTTTGCTTTGAAAAAACTCATACAAATTTGTAATGTTTATAAATATTTATTAGGTAAATAATTGATTTTATGTTTTCAAGGGGATTCAAGAGAATTCAAATTTCTAGATTCTAGATTTTTAAAAGGTTCGTAGTTTAAAAAATGCAAACATATTTTCAATGCCCTGATTAATATTGTTTGATATAACACTAAATAAAATAAAATATTAAAAATATATATTTTCCTAAAAGTTGATCAAAACCCCCTATATTTATTCTTATATTTCCCTACATTACACACCTTAAATTGCATAACACGTCTCGATGAGTACAGAAATTTTTCTTCAGCAATATTTTAGGGCCAGACTTTGCACACTAAAATTTTTCTAAATTAAGTTACATTAATGACAGAATTTATATTTTAAAAATTTTAGGAAGGTGTTCCTCTCTAAAAAAAAAGACATAGTTAATTTGATTTAAATGGACAAATGCAAATTTACCAATGAATGCAGATAAAAAAAATTTAACTTATTCTGGATTTGCAAATTTCAATGCACTTTTGATTTACAAATTCCAAAGATTTTAATTTATTTTTGGTTAACAATTGCAAAATTAGTATTGTAGCAATATCTCAATAATATCTATTACATAAAAATTAAAAATTGAGCTTTATTATGGGGTAAAATATAATTTAGAAATTGATATAAGACATATTTTGGTTGAAATATAACATTCTAACTAATACTTATTTTAAAATGATAAGTAATTTCCTAAAATATAAACAAAATATGGAAAATTAATTAAATATAAAACTTTTTCCAATGTATTTTTTTAAAAATACAAAATATGTTCTTGCAAGCATAATAATATAAATACCTTATATACGTCATTATCACAAAAGAAGTCGAAGCCAGTGTCCAATGGCTGATCAAAAAAATTTTCACCAGCTGTTTCCTCTTTTATATCCGAATCAACCTATAAAATGTTATTTAAGTGTCATGCATGCTTTCACAAAATAAAATAAGTACATTTTATTTTATTGCTTAAACAAAAGTCATTAAGAAACATTATCTAACATTCTTTAATGATACAAATTATTTGGTGCAGAAGAAGACACATCCAGATCAGCAGCAATCATAGCTTGTCCCGAATTACATAAGACAGAGTCGGGTAAATCAATCAAATTAAAACTGAACAAGTAGATACTGACTCCAGGAATTATTTTTAGCATCCTTTGAAAGCCTCACGACAAAATAGTAGTTTCTCTTAATTTCTAATCATGCAGGGGCAGTTCTCTATGGGACTTTTGAAGGAACCAGTATCCTTCTAGCTGAAAAGTAGGCCATCTTGTTATCAAATCTCAGCCATTTCAATTTAGTAAGTATATTTTCAGAGTGGCTAGAAACACATAGAAAAAAAAAATCCCTGACTTTTTCAGTCCTTTTTTTTTAAAATCGAATTTCCCCGATTATTTTAGCCAATGGCATAGTAATAATTTTAGTTATGCCTTATTTTCATTCGAAAAATACATTACAAAATAATTTTATTTGCTATTAGAGTTGAAAATAAAGAATCGTTCTGCTTTTTGGAAAAAATTGGATTTTCAGGTTTCAAATTAGTTAATTTCTCCCGACTTTTTGGGGATTTTAACTGAATTCCCTGATTGATAAAATGAACTAACTTTTCTCTGACCTGTGATCAGCTTGATTTTTCAAGTAGTTTAAAATGAAGAAAATATTTTCATTAAGTCATACCTAAAGTGAAAACCTCACTTACTGTGAAAATGGGAAATTATTATGATTTCTACAAATAGTCTTAAGAGAATAAGAGTTAAAAAATTGAATGGATGCAGTAAACAAGCGAGTAAAACAAATGGTTAGACAGTATTCTAATTATATATAGTCAATTAATAATACATAGGTAGTAATTAACTATTTGACTTACTTTAAATTTCTGGCGTTTGGCGAGTTTCAAGTAATGTAAAGCCACGGTCCAAAATCTGCATCCTTCTTGGTCTCCAAATAACCTACAAAAATATTAAAAATGTAATAAAAAAGGGTAAGATGCATCCTTTACAGTTAATTTTTGTATTAAATTAAAGTTCTGTTGGATTGTTGTTGGTATATATTACAGAACACAAACGTAAAAAAATAACAAAAAATATCAATATTTTTTTTCTATGTCAGGCACTGAACATTCTGCACTGATTAAAAAGCAAAACTGTCTAGAGAGCCTCAATTAGTAACAAGTAAGCAGAAACCGCCTAGCCTATTCTACTACTTTATTATTTATATCCAGCACATAATAAAAGACTTTGTTGCCAACTGAGTGTTTGCAATGCCTAAAGATGCCACATATAATTTTTCCCGCCAAAAAAAACTAGTTTTTTCTTGGTTACTCAATGATTTTGAAAATTATGAAGCTATTTCTCTATAAACTTGACCAAAATGTTGATTCTGTAAATTTATTTGTTTCATCCTCTTCTAACTTTATCAACAAAAATTAGTTTTTAGCAACTTGTTTAGAAGCATGAAAAGACATCAGAAAAAAGATATTTTATGAACAGTTAGATTACTTTTTGATGAAATTGTTTTCTAGCAAAACTTTGCATTTTAGACTATAATCACTTATAAAATAATTAAACTTTAAAATTTTTTTATTACAAAAGTTGAATTTTTTCTTCTTTTTTTACAACTTTGTTTTAGATAAAAGATATTACATTTCACAAGATTCCATTACCGAAAGAAAATTTCATTTTATCATTTTGGTGCAATACTAATGACACAAATGAAGAAAATACTTTTTAAATAATACATGTTAGCCTACCTGGATACATGTAAGCATCGTTCAGCAATACCAAAAGGACATGATTTTAGAAACGTTTTTAATTCTTCTCCGATTGAATTTACTTGCTCTTCAGCCCAAAGCATATCAGAATTATCTTGTTGGTCAATGTCTGGTTTAAAGTCCTGCCTCCATAATATATGATGCAAGAAACTTTTCATGTAAAACGATACTTTAGGAGACAAAATATGTGGTGCAATTGGAAAATCTAAACAGAATATAATATATTTTAAAACTCAACAATATCATAAAAATCATAAGAATTATAAAACTAATATGAACAACATACATATTAACTTATAGCTAAAATAATATTTTTCTGATTTGAAAAAAACAATGCTTTATATAGTAATATTAACATAACATCATTTTTAATTCAAAATTACACTCAAAATTTGGAGAATATAATCGATTTTCTTCCTTGTGAAAAAAACTATAATTCAGTGAATTAAATGAAACCTGATTATTATTATGAAAACTGATTAAAACTACCTGAGGGTTGATAGTCAGGAATGCTGGAAGAAAATTGTTTCAGTGTTATGTCTGTTATTCGAAGACTTCCGTCTGCTGTAGCCAAGACAGGGCGATCCGATCCAACCCAGTCCATGTCTTGGACTTTTGGCATATCTCGAGGGCATCTCACTTGATGTAAAAAACAAACCTTCCAAAAAGAATTTTTTTTTTAAAAATGCATATTATTAGTACATAGTTAATTTAATAGAATAAATATGATCCTTGAATAATATAATGAATATAATAATTTGTACGATAAATTTATGCTCAAAGAAGAATTCCTTTTTAACGCCTTGCCCGTGTCGCCTGAATCTAGTTCGGGCAACTACTACTTGCAGTATTTGTGATGCCCGAACTAACTTTGGGCAGGAGAAAAATTAACGTTTCCATTTTGTGAAGCCTGAGCTGAGCTCATTTCTACTTTAGGATACTTAATTCACTATTTTCCTAATAGATGGCATTAGTGGTTCTAGTTTTTCACAGATTTCAACTTCAGTCGAGGGAGGGAAAAGATTTGTAAAATTTATGCATTGAATATGATATTGTGGAGTTTTTATATTATATTATACTAGTTATATTTAGTTTCAAAATTTTGTTTAATTTGCTCTAACTGAATAAGATGTGTGTGTAATCCATTACTTTTTTATGTGTATGTAATAATTATAAATACAGTAGTTATTGCATTTAAAATTTTATTTTTGTAATTAAAACCATTTTTTATCTTTTATAATAATGTAAAGAACAAAATTAAACAGTCAAAAAAAAATTCTATTTTCGGTCCATTTTTCTGAAATATAACCTGCTAAGGGGTTAAAACGAATACCATTTTATGAGAGTATTAAAAAGCTCAAAGTTTTAAAATATTACTCAGTAATTGAATAAATTATAAAAATTTATTTCACATGGTTTCCTAATTGAACAGTCACCTTAACAGATTTTGAACTTTAACTTGTATATGAAAAAAAAAAGGTTTTGCACCAAACATTGGAAATTATTGATAACAACTACCACAACAGAAGAAAATTGTTTCCCCCCTCTTTAATGCAGTTGAATCTAGCAGCTTGCTGACCAGTGGGCAGAGATTAATAACAGTGCCTTTACTGCAAGTAAGAGTGGCACAAATTTTTTTTTTCTTCCCTCCAGTTTCTCCTGGTCTGAAGATGTTGCATAGTTAAGAGTTTACGATTAAAGGGGAAGTTTTAAGTTTAACGGCCATGCAAAACTATAGCTTTTATTCTGTAAACAAGAGCCTTCGTCAGTGTCTAAAAATTTTTTTTTTTTGTATGTGAGTGTTTAGACAATGAAGAAGGGTCTTGCTTATGGAATTAAAACTATAGTAAGTCCATTCATGTTCCTTTATTCAAGTTGTTTCGATTGTTGTTTGTACAAAGTATACTCAATCCTTACTTGAATACACAGATCTAATTAATAAATGCGTTATTAAATAATTATTTTGGTAGTATACTTCAATTATATAAAAAAAGATGCAATCATGTATTTGTTTGTGCTAAGATTCCTTACTCAATGAAGTTTGAATTTGATAATTTGAATTTGATAATTTGAATTTAATAAAATTTAAATAAAAATCAAACAGAAAGTGGTGCTGTAAAGACTGTCCTTATTATTGAATCCTTATTAAAAAATAAATAAAGTGAAAATATAATAATGCACATCAGGACCACAAGCAAATAAATAAAATATTAAAATAAGAAATAAACAAAAAAAGTTTTCAAATAAGACCAATCATCATTGAGAGAGGAAAAAGAAAAAGGGGAAATAAAATTTATTACAGCAATTTATTTGTCTTGTGGGACTAAAATTCATTTGCAGTTTACTAAGACATGCTTTTAAGCTTCATTCTAAAGTGAATTAATTTATATGATTTTAAAATTCCTTCCTTATTGGCCTTATTGACCATAACATAAAACTAACCAGAACTAGACACAGTACTTAAACTTGATTTAAATTGATTTTAGTTGCTTTTTGAGGGCAATTTTATAAACGAATTTAAAAAATTATACATAACTTTTAGCAGCCTTCATTACCAATACACTGTTTGCTTTTTAAATTTTTTTATTGCTACTTTTTTAAGACCTAATTAATTTTGATAGTGGATTCTCCTTCGCTACACTTCTTTCACATTTAATTGTAAGTATCACAATTAACTATTAATAAATATAATTTAATTGTAAGTAATACAAGTACTGACTGTTAGAAGACAAATTTCATAACTCTATCAGTGATTAATAACACCTACTTCTTTTACATCATAAACATCTACCCCATCACTGTACATGACTAGTATTTTCATATTACCCTTGCCTGGTCCAAAGCGTATTTTTTTAATCCATCCTCGATGCGTTGAAATACCTCTATGTACAGATAAAAAAACAAATATTACAGTCTGTCATGCATATCAATTAAAAAAATGTCACTAAATTACTTATCTTCATGAATATTGAAATAAAATAAATCAATAAAAAATAGAGCTATTTAAAATACATTCACAATAAACAAAATTTTTAACATTATATCAATTGAAACTGACAACAGCAATATTTTTTTTTCTATAAATGAGGAGAGACTTTAGATAATTTCTATTTATTTCGTATAAAAAAGAACCAAATAACTGCAAAAGAACCATTAGAGTTGATAAATGAAACAAACAAGTTTAATATTTCTTTTTCCAAACTCTAGATCAATACAATGGCATAAGCTTGAAGAATCAATTATAAAATAATGTGACACTCTATCACAAGAAATTAATTTCAAGAGAAAAGTAAAAAAATTTGCTTTCTAGAATATCTGAGGCCCTTAATTCATTGCCACTACCATGGGATATCCTTATCGGATTGGTAAGTAATAACAAATATGGATAAGTTGACGTATGCCTGTTTAGACAGAAGGGGTGCGATTGTTCTTGTTTTCCAATGGCGCCATCTATGGCCAAGAATTCGACTTCTGCCACACCATACGTCACACCGGTTTATAGGGCGGACCCATTCAATCATCCACAGATCGTAATTTTGACCTGAATCAGAGAACGATCGATCTCCAATCCAGTACCCCCAGAGGTATTGACTTGTTATGGGAACATGGAGGACTTTTGCGACTCGACAGATTTAACGTGCATCAGTCACTTTGCTACACGGGGAGTCTTCGGCCGGCGGGGTTCGAACCCACGAACTCTCGGACATGGGCCCAGCGCCCTACTGAACAGGCTAACCCGGCCCGACAAATATGGATGGATTGCTTAATATAAAAGCATTGACAACAACTCATATATAAGCATAAACATTTATGGTAATAAAACAATATCTAAATTTTGAACTACAACTATGGAAAGAATCAGAAAAAAAAAACATACTTTGACACTTTCCCCCTCAAATTCCAGATATTTAAATTTCCATCAACATCTCCTAAGACAATATGATCCCCTTTCCAGGCAATACAAGTCACGCTACCCATCGCTTGCTATAAAAACAAATTAGAACCAACAAATCAATTTAAACAATACAGATATGGACCTGTTTCAGGTACAAGTCAAATAAACTAAATTTGAGGTATACAAAGGATACTTCATTTATATTTTTATTTTATTTATATTTTTTATACATCCTTTTACATTTTTTATAATAAATATTGAAATCTATAAAGTTCATAAAGACTAAAGTGCATTTAAATTAAATGTCCTTTTAAGTTTCACTCACAGCAGAAAACTTAAAAAAGGCCAATTGATTTTAAACAACAAGCAATTAATTTATTTTAGACTACAATATTTTTAAATAGTATTATTTTTATTCAAAATAATTGTAACTTTATTTAAATTACTTAAATTCAGAATAAAAAAAATTTTAAAAACGCAAAATTAGATTATAATTCAAGTTATTACAATCAGGGGATTCATTGGCAGGGGCTTGTAGCCCCCTCAATAATTAGATATCTCAAAAATATTTAAGACTTCAATATTTAAGACAAATAAAAACAATTTTCGTGAATCATCATCAATTTAAAAGTAATTAAGGTTCACAAGAAAGAGATGAATTTTTTTTCAGGTATTCAACAAATTTTTAAAATTTTTGTTTCTTTCCCTTTTTTTGGGAAATTTAGAGAGAGTGGAAAATATTAATTTTGTTCGTATCAAAAATTTAACATTTGCATTGCCCTTGCAATTAAAGAGCATTCCTTACACATTTATTAGTATTTTTAAGGCAGAAATTTCATTAACTAAATCAACAGTCTTAAATCGTATAAAAATTTATAGTCCATATTTTAAAAGCTAATATTAAAAAAAGTATAAAAAAAAATATCGAACAAAAACAATTTGGTGCAAGACAATCAATATTGAATTAAAGATTGAAACAAATCAGGGAATGAGGCAAAACTGTCAGCCATTAATCGTGAGAAGTGAAAGATTACATTGAGGGTTATATGCCTTAAACAGGTGCGTTGAAGTATAAGTAATACAAATATTACTTTTAAACATTAATTCAAATTTTAAGAAATACATAAAATTTAAAAAATGAAAATTCAGTATTCTTTTTCACCTGGAATGAGCGAGGCTGATAGCAAGCTATTTAGGCTTACCCCTCTTTAAACCCAGTGGCACATAAGGCCCTTTATTTAAGCAAAAAGCCATGTTAAACATGAGAAATGAAAATTAACAGTAATTTGTTCAAGGTAAACATCACATTTAAGTCAAAAAAGGAAAAACAGAAAAAATATATTGAAAACATTGCACATATCGCAAAACTTGACAGCAGTTTATTTCATTTGTAAATGTATAGAAAGTCTATTTTCAACAAACTCAAATAAATGAACTGAACTAATTATTCATTCTTCAAGCTATTCTATTGCTATTATTATGGAGCAATTTAATAAATAGATGATTCAAAAAATTTAAAACAATTAAATGGTCATTATCAAAAAGGAAGTCTACAAAAATTAAGAAATTGTCTTATTTAATACCACTACAAATAGAGATAGATAGTTCAGACAGTTCAAATAGATAGTTCAGACAACAGCTAAATTATTTATATAACATAATTTAATAAATTATCAGATACTAATCCCTCCTCTGAAAGTTAAAAGCTAAATAAATAATAAAATGGCAGCACTCACATCAGATGGTATAACAGATCCATGTTTAACCACATTGCCTTCAACAGAAAAATGATACAGCTGCCCATTTGTATCTGTAAATACCAGATGCTCTTTTGTATATGTCACTGATTTTGTTGAACTGCAAGAAAAAGTGTGGGCTTAAAAAATATATCAGAATTATTTTTAGTAAAAAATAAATTATCAATTTAAATTTTAAAAATATTTCAAAAATAAGCCAGAAAAAAAAAATAAGTCAGAAAAAATCAATACTTATAACCAAATTCACATTAATCAATTCTTAACATTTAAGTATCCTGTTGTATCCAGTTTGGCTTAAAAATTTAAGATTATAAAAATTAATTAAAAAACTTAGCATGCATGAAGTTATTTGTTCAAAATAACTTAAGCTTTTTTAATTTAAAATGCCTTTTAACACAATTAATTACATAGCAATTTTTGAGCGACAAATTATTTTATAGAATAAGCTTTTATCAACAGCACAGGCAATTTATATTATTAATGAGACAATTTATATCCAATTTGCGACTAGCAATGTTCAATTTTAAAACTTTGAACCTATTCCAGAAGACAAGTGGATTCCAGGATTATGGGCGATGTTACACATTAGTTTCACGATGTTAAACATTAGCTTCACATACGACCAACATGGGAGGGGGGTGGGAATTTGGTATGTATATAATGTTATTTACATAGATAAAAATCTTTAAAAAAATTGAGTACTCAAACGAAAAAGAACATGACTCTTTTTTCCATTAAAAAAAAAAATTGTCCTCTCAAAGCTTGATTTTATAAAACAATGATAATGAATTTACTAAAAGGAGACATTAACATGCTTTAATATTGCACCGATTCTGTTTTTGAAAAATTGATTTTAAAAAGAGGATGTTTTTCTAATCCAGTAACACTTTAGGCGGTGCGGTGGTCAATGTACTGGGTTTAATATCAAATTCTTTTGTCCTTCCCATGATTTTTCTAAAAATTAATTCTGTTCGGTTAATTATCTTGTCTGATCGTACAAATACACTACAAATCTGTTGAATAGTGCATAAATAAATAGTTTTAAAAAAGTACAAAGCAGGATGAGAACAATATACGAAAAAAAAAATCATTCAAACATTATTGAGGAAATTTAAATATTAATCTATTTACCCATCACTTTCAGGGTTATAATCTAAACTTGAAGGTGTGGATTCTTTTACTTTGTCAAAGGATAGCTCTAATGATGATTCTTTTCTTTTATAATGTCCAGGTGACCATTCCTGAAAATAAATATAAGTTAAATAAAACTACAGTAGAATATTGGACATTTCGTAAAAGAAAAGACATTCAGTTAGCAACATTTGCAGTCATATTCATGAAATTAAACTAAAAAATAATTCACAAATTCAATAATAATTACAAATAAAAAAAATAATAATGCAAAATTACTTCTGTATTTAAATACAAGCTCCATTTAAATAACTAAAAATGCAGGGCTGAAGAATAAAGCTTTTCTTTTTCCCTTTTCAATAAAACATCTTAAAGTTTGTTTTTATTATTACATTGTGAACTACCTTAGTAACATAAAGAAAAATGTGATTTCTACTCTAGTTTTTAGATATACTTTTTGAGTAAAAGGATTTTTAAAACTTGTTCAGTTACAAAGTTCTTTTCTACTATTAAAAGGCAAATTCTACTTTCGTTTAGTTAAGTTTAGTTTAATTAAGCTTTCAAATTTATCAAAACAAATATTTTATAACTATAAAAATAACATTTTAAATTTAGAAAAGTATTAGAATTTTGTAAGATAAAGAAACAATTCTATAAATACAAATTTTTTTGAAATTATCTTAAATAAAAATTATTTTCAACAGAGTTAGAGAAAGACTTACCAATGCAGTTACTACAGGAAAATTTTTTGGCATAACACGAAGAATAGCAAGCTGGCGTAAATCCCAAATTTCAAATGGCTCATCTTTAAATGCCACAATAAGATATTGCCTGAAAACAAGAAAATTGCGCTATTAACTAATGCATTATCCCGCTTTTACTTTTAAAGAAAATTTCTTTTATGAGACTAAGTGATGGCTTTTTATGAGAGATTATTAAATAAACATTATACTTTGTACTAATTAATTTTCCACAGTTGTTTGTAGCTGCTAATGAATGTAATGTTGAACCAAGTATTTACAAATATTTGATTTTCATCAAATAAAAATATATAATTATTAATATTATTAAATTATATAATTAATAATATTTATTACTGAACATACACATCAATAGTTTTTATTAAGTATTTTATTTTATAACTGACAGTGCACAGCCCAGCCATTTTCGGGATTACAACTATTAATGTTCAACTCAATTATGAATATCTAATGCCAATCCTTGTACCTAATTTTATACCCAACAAAGAAGACAACCAAACTCCTGAATTGAGCAATGAAATAAACTAGTCTTCATGGTGAACTTTTTTTGATAAAACTGAACCTCATTTGCATTACGTGGAGAGGAAAACAACAAAAACCTCCAACGGTTAGCCCGACAGCAAGGGGATTCTAGCCATTGTCTGACTTGTCTACCGAGTATATATTACGACAGCACTGCAGCCAGTGTGAGACCAGAATAGAATTCGTATCAACCTGCAATGACTAGGATTTTAACCAAAGTCACCTCATTGGGAGGCAAGTGATCTATCCCCTGAACCACGACAGCTTTTTTTTATTAATAAATGAAATTTTACATACCTAAGGTATGAAACACGAATCATGTCAATCGGTGATTCTTCAGTCCTTTCTTCTCGTAGGTTCCTGATACGGCCAGACTGCAGATCAAGCAACATCAACTCATTTCTGACTTGGCCAAGATTATTAACAGTGTTTGGGTGGGAGTATGACAGGAAAGATGTCAGACCAATCCACTCTATACCCCTATTAAAATGAACACAATCTACATTAAAAGTTAAGAGATGAATTTTAGGCTCATTATGAAGATCAACTGAATTCAGTAACATTTCCATTACAATGATCAAAATAAAAGTATCCCATTTAATAAATAAAATATTAATATAAGTATGTTATTTTAATTTAAAAAAACAAGTAGGTAATCTCATTTAAAAACTATTACAGTCAATGATGTTTTGATTTTTTAAAATACACTGGTATGTTCAGAAAACTTCATACTGAATAATAAGAAAAACTTAATGGAACAAGGCGAATCGACGTATAAAAGTATAGGTACAGAGAACATACATCAAATTACAGTAAAATACATATAAAGTTTTCGTTATTCAAATGTAAAGCTATTTATGGTTGTAAGGCTCTAAACATAAAAACCTAATTTGATTAGGCAAAACTTACAACTTTGAAAAACAAATTGATTATTAATTCCCTGGTATATCATTTTAAAATTTCAAGTTGAAGGGGTAGAAACTGAACTATTAAATTCTCGATTAATTCTTAAACTATACTCCTAACATTTGTTTAGGGCAACAAATGAACAGAAAACCCCTATTGGAGTGACCACCTACTGTATTCTTATCTTCTTACTGAAAAACGAAAATTCCATTCTATCTGGTAAAACATTTCTTGAAAATAATTTTTTGTTTTTGTTTCAGTACCTATTTTTTATGCAAATAAGCAAGGACTAGAAACAACAAATAACCATTTAGAAGAGGAAATTTAACATTAATTTCATATAAATGATGCAGTTCCATTAAATTTTATTCATAAAAGCAGGTTATTAGATTATCCGATATGCAATTAAGTGGAGAATACTGTTCATACATATATAAACCACTTAAATCATTCAGTAGCACTCTCCATTGGCCATTCAATGATGCTCGTTTACTATAGAGACAAAAAAAAAAAAAATCTTATTTCTATGAGATATAATTTCAGATGGATCTCCTATATTATAGAAACTTGGGGATTTAAATGTATTTATTTTAGTTTTTATAAACAGATTGCATTTTTTCATAACCCTTTTGAGCAATTTAAACACTGCTTCATTAAGCTTGAAGAAGAGATTATTGCTTATGCCTAGATCGGGAACGTTTTTCCTCCTCTGGTGCAAGTTTAAAAGAAATTTTAATTCAAATTATGAGATTTCTAAAAAATGGAATCAAACTGATTTTGAAACCAAATACAGTGAAAGTCTATTGCAATGACAATTCATAATAGCAGATGAAATTATCATTACAGTGAGCTTGTTATTAGAAGCGAATAAATAAATGTTAAAATAGCAATAAAAAGAATAAAAAATGAAACAGACATATTTTCAACTATTTCAATTTAAAATATATGTATCTTTGTATGCATTAAAATTGTTATATTAAAATATGTCTATCCATGTACTGCCTTTGCCTACGGATTGTACACTGAATTACATATGTACTTTATGAAAGGCAGAAATAACTACAATAGGAATTTTTGAAAGACAAATTTGAAAATTGTAAAAAATTTTTGTAAGAAAAGATAAATGCAACACTTTTTGACATCATTGATAACAATGAATATTGATTTTATTAGTGAATAGTTAAAAAAGGAAATAAGGGAAAATAATAGTTATGTGGACAACAAAGGAGTATTCTTTTGAAGTGTATGACAGGATTTCTAAAATTATCAACAACTTTCTTTAAAATAAGGAATAAGATATCTTAGCCAGTGGTCAACGTCACATTGCTTTAAAAAATAAAGGATTAAAACTGAAGCAAGGCAACTATGTTCATTTTTTGCTTTTCTGCATTGATACCAGAAATAAATAAACCTTTCCATTTAAATCTTTTTCATATAATATTGTTCATTTAAACAATAGTGAAATATAATGTATAAAGGTTTTCTTGTAATATGTCATACTCGTTATATCGAGCTTTAACAGTACCTATTTACAAAAAATATATTTAATAGATCCTAAATTTAATTTAAGCAAATGAAAAGAGTGTTTACCTCACAGGAGAAGTATGAAGGGCATATTCTTTTTCTATAATTCCTGTTGCCATATTGATCACTTGAATACTACCACTAGCATTTCCTAGGAAAATTTTGGATGTAAAATTCAGAATATAATTTTCATTTTTTCAACTGCATTTGAATAAAGAAAACCTTTTTGCAAAATTAGCTTTGAAACTATCAATTGTAAAGTACTCATTTATAATTTCTTTTAAATGCTACAACAAAAATTTATAAAAGCAATTCTTACATTATATATAAATTTTGAACAAATGACTCTTTTTGGATTCCTAGAAAAGTAATACACAACCCTTTTTTTGATTGATCTAAATAATTGAATTGTTGAAGACTGCAACAATACAGAAAAAAAGTTAGGTCAATTAAAAACAATTTAATTGCTCCCATGAAATATTAATTTAACTAATTAAATTTTTATTAGAAATTTTCAAAAATTTAATTAAATTTTTAAAAATTTCTAGAAGCATTATTTGATTATAAAACTAAAAAATCAGAAAAATATTTATAAAACACTTTTTAAATATATACCTTTTAAAATCATATATGTATTTTTTAAAATCATAAAAGAAATTGAAATACAAAAAGCATTTTTTAAATTAAAAAGAAAAACTTTAATTTTTTGGCTTATAAAAAAATTTATTTTGTGCAACAAAAAAAAAATGCATCAAATATTTACGATTAAACAATAGCTAGTGATACCCAAAAATCAATTGAATTTAAGCAACATATTATACTGAAACCAATTACCCAGCTTTAACTGAATTGGTTAATTAGAAGTCGAGTAATCTTGCGCACCAAGTGAAAAAATTTAATTATTGAACTGAAATCATCTTATACTAGGTGTCAAATTGCTCAGAATAAAACACATAACAAATTTTTTTCTTCTTCAAAAAATCAAAAATTTTATTTAGAAAAACACTCAATCGATCAGAGGAAAAAAAACCTTACCCACAGCCATTAAAGGTCTATATATAGTCCAATTGCGAAATGTAACAGGAGGACACATTCTCAAAACATGAGGTGGGGCAGACAGTGCACAAAGATATCCATAAATAAACATTTTCAGTTTTGTCTTTTTAACTGAAGCAGTGGCAATGTCCTCATAGCGATAGAGTGTGGGCGGAAGATGATCAGCGAGTGTGTTGGCAGGATGATGAGCATCAGAAATAATGGGCAATACATCTGGAGGGAAAGGTTCTTCTTTTTTAGTGAAAAGCTGAGGATCCATGCTCATGGATAAATAAGGAGGAAGAAAATTTACATTTTGTATCTATGAAATAAAAAAAGCAGATACATAGTAGACAGCAATAAGTTTTTACATTATAATATATACAGTAGAGAAACGATTATCCGGAACGATCGGGACCATCGCTATTTCGGATAACTAATTTTTCCGGTTTTCTGAATCGCTACAAAAAGCCGTTTTTTTTATTGTTAAACCCAAATAAAAAAAAATTTTTTTTTTTTTGGAAATAATCTTAAAAAGAAGAAAAAACGATGGAGTAATGCACTAATGATTATTTCCAAAATGATGGTAAGGTAAACAACTTTCAAAAAAGAAAGAAAAATACTAAAATCTTATAAGGGAAAAATTTTTAAAAAAAAACAATGGCTGGAAAATTTATCGAATTTCGTTCCGGTTTTTTGGTTTTCTGATTTCCGGATAACGGGTTCTGTACTGTACTATTTTATACTTATTGAGAAATGACACATTTGACAGTAAAAAAATTTATATATATATATTATGAGATTAGGAAGCTTTTGTAATACAACAATATGGTTTAGTAACCAAACATAGCAGGATGGCAAACAAGCAAACATAGCATCTTCTGATGCCCAGCTCTTTTCTGATTTTAATATTAACATTAAGTCAAGAAAGTTTCTTATTGCATAAATCAAAATGGTGTAATTGCCAAATGTTAGAGCAGTGATTCTCAAACACTGTGCCGCGGCACTTTTGCTTGCCGCCAAATTCTTAAAATGTGCCGCCAAATATTAGAAATGAAACAATAAAAATTATAATGCTTTTTTTAAATTATGAGTAAGGTTTAAATTAAAGAAAAGTGTATATATATAATACATTTCATAATTTTTCCACGCTTCAACCGCGTGAACATCCTTGTTGGCGATTGTCTTGTCTCTGACAATCTTAAAATAAGAAGGAAGTGTTTAAATTGTCTTTGACAATTTAAAAAAATTGTGAAATAAGTAGGGAATTTAATGATTATTAAAATTATTAATTAACAAAGGAAAGCAAGCTAAATATTAGCCTTCAAATGGAAATAAAAGCTGATCATTAAAGTAGGCTATGCAATTAATAGTTATAAAAACAAATTAACAAAGGTTAACTAACAAAAAAAAATAAGCTAACAATTAATAATCAGCAAAAAACTAGTTAACAAGAAATCACAAAAAATAACAGTTAATAGCTATAGAAAACAAGCTAACATTCAATAACAAGCAAAAAAATAAATAACTGTTACTAACTAATAAAAATTAGTCGAAAGAAATAATTAATCCCTTAATAAACGTGCTTTTGCAGTACATATTATTTTATTTCACATTCAAAATTATTATCACAAACTATTTAACAGATAGGTAAGTAAACAACTTGTAAAGAATTTTTTTTCATTGCATGCCGTCAAATTTCGAAATTGTTAAAAGTGTGCCGCCCCGAAAAAAAGGTGGAGAATCACTGTGTTAGAGGAAACCCACAAGTTTTACTTTAGGAAAATTATTTTTTTCTCCATACTATTTAACGTTTTTTTTAGCTTTATTAAGATGAAATCCAAAAAAAGAAAGTTTTTTGTAACAATAATGGATATAGTTTAAAAGCCAATGAATTTGTCAAATAAAATTTATGCACAATTTTCCAATTGAAAATTAATTTTTTTAACCCTGTTTTACTGGGTTTTTTATTTCTTGCTTTAATTATAGCAGCATACCAAGAAAGTAATTGGTATGATAAATGAATATAGTCTAATGACTAACTAATGTTTCAGAGTGAGAAAAATTTATATTTTATAGTACAATACTAACCAACATTGCAACTGAAAATGTCTATAAAAATTAGTATCAACCATTCTTGAAAGAAAAAAAAATTATGAAAATTTATGACCTATGAACTATTATGAAAATGAAGATTGATAAAATGACATGAATAATGTTGTAAAAGTTACGGTTAATAAAAACAAATCAGCTATAGTTACCAGGTGATAAGCTGCCACTTCTAAAAACAATATTCGACCATCACTAACAAGAAGAGCTATTTTTTGTTCACTCAATGGACAGACTGCCATTCCAGTCACTTTTGCATGTTTTGTAAGTCTCAAAGAGTCTGACTGACACTGCATATCGTATGTCACTTCTAAACTGGAATCGTTAGTGTTTATGCCAGTATCAGAACCTAAAATGCAAGTTGCATTAATAGAACATATGCATCTCAGCAAATGGTATAAAAACGTATGCAAAATAGGTAATAATTACACTAAAAATTAGTCTTTCCCTGAAATTTTTTTTCTTATGACACACATGAACATTTTTATCAGAAATATTAAAGACAGACAACAATAGTATCAAACTGCAGCTAACAAAAGATTTGGTTAAATTATTTAATTACAAAGATTTAACACTAGCAAAAATCTATATGTAAAAATAAATCTCTGGTGTTTGCCCTTTTAAGGTAAAATTAGAAATTTATAGAGTACTAGTTAAGTCAATTATATAAGTAAAAATGGTTGCAAAAAGTAATAATTAAAATAAATTATCTTTCTCTCTAAAAAAAATGAAATTTGCAACACAGAGGTGATCTTTCCTAGAGGTTTCACTGTGCATATGTTTAAGATGGAATCAAACACATTTTTTTCACATTGGGCACTAACTTTAACATATGTATTGGTTTAAGTAAATCAAAAATAAGGGAATTTCCTAATTTATAACCTTCTCGACCTCTGACTAGTCTGACTTTTTAAGGTTACACTGCAATTTTTAATGCAAAAATACCATTAGTTCCAAAAAAATATTTTTTTGCCTTAGAGCTAGTCCTTGTATAAAAATAAATTTATTGTCTTCAAAAAAGAGCATTTTTTTTTAATTATTAAAATACATATAAACTTAACCCATTATTTCTCGCTCTCGTGAAAATGACGGGGTGAGGTTTCGCTCTCTATTTCTCGCTCCGGTGCTGGCCATCCTGGGCTGGAGTGTTCAGTAGTAACACGCCAATTAGAATAAAATTAATTCATTTCTTTTGCCCGGAAAACATTTTATTTCTCATTTTACACACCAGATGGCAGTACCAGGATATTTTTAAGGCAATTGTAGAGAGTTAGTTTATTTTAAACTAGATGTCAAAAAATAGGCACTTTTATGACCGTTTTCTTAAAAATTAACCGATCGTTATGGGGTTAAACAGCTAAAAAATTTGGATGAGGAATTTAAAAACGCAAGACAAGTGACAGAGAAATAAAAGACAGACGGATGAAACAAAATCTTACAGTGCAATATTTAGCAAAAGAGACTTACACTCTAAAGGAGTAGCGAGCGCCATTACAGCTTGACCACGATGTCTGAGTCGAAAGGAAACTGTTCCAGAGTCATGAAGAATGTAGAAGGCATCTCTCTGGTTACATGAATATAACTGCATCATGAAAGAACATGAATGCTCACATGACACAATGCCAACAGTCTGAAAGAAAGATGGCCAGTGAAATTAATCAACATATAAAACATTATACATCAATAAGGAAGTATGGTACAATTTCAGGAGCTTAACATCAAACTCATAATGGAAGTTAACTAATTTATAAAGTTGAAAATGGGTTTTATAAAAGTGGCTGTAATTTAGATTTTCTAATTTTATTTCACAATACCCCGAAATAAATGTTACTTTGGTCTCTAATTAAATAACCTAAACTGGCATCTATAGCAGATTAGAGTATCAATTATGTACAGTTGATTTTTTAAAATTCTTTATTTCATAATTTTTGCTAGGAGCTTCGGCTTAAGGTGAACCTTATACAATACAAAATTATTTATTGCTTGATCTAGGTTATTTTTTTCTTCTCTTTCCTACTCTTTTTTTTTTGCCGGGATAGCCTGGTTGGTAGGGTGCTGGGTCCATGCCGGAGAGTTTGTGGGTTCGAACCCCGTTGGCCGAAGACTCCCCGTGTAGTTGGTGACTGATGCATGTTAAAATTCTGTCGAGTCGCAAAGTCCTCCATGTTCCCTAACAAATCAATACCTCTGGGAGTATTGGATTGGAGATCGATCGTTCTCTGATTCAGGTCAAAATTACGATCTGTGGATGTATGAATGAGTCCGCCTTATAAAGAGGTGTGACATATTTTGTGGCGAAGTCGAATTCTTGGCCATAGATGGCGCCACTGAAAAACAAGAATCGCACACTCTGCCTTAAGTTTCACCAAGCAGGCTTGCCCGTGTGGCAAGTGCCATTAGAACCAACCAACCAGGTTATTTTTTAACTGTCCCTTCACTTTTTGGATAAGCTTTGTTTGATGGTCTAAAATAAAATTTATTAGTGAAAGAAGTGCCCCTTTTTAGTTTTGATTATTTCATAACTTTTAGATGTAAAAATTTCAGTCGTATTATAACTAATACATATAAGCTAAGTTTAATAATTTACTCTAAAGTTGAAATAAATATAGCACTCAGATTAAAATCTGACATACACAGGGTAGAAAATCAACTAAATTCCAAATACAAAAATGTAAAGCACCTTTCTCATAATTAAAATAATGAAATTAGTAAAATATTCTACAGCCAAATACTTATCCAGGGTTCTCACTCTATGATGAGATTGAAATTCAAGGACTTTCCAGGACTTTTCAAGGACCTCAACAAAATTTTCAAGGACCTTAATCTAAGACCAATTTTAAAAATTATTCTCTTCTATTTTACTAGAAGCAACAATGCTTGTTGTGGCAATAATTAATTTCAAATATAATACCTAAATGCTTTGCCTATATAGAGAGAAGAGAGTATATGTATTATGGACTAAAATTTATATTTTTTTAAAAACAACCCTACTGGTTTTACATATTAATTCACAAAATCATTTTCAGCACAATCTATAACTAATGGTAATGAGGTGTTAATGGTGAAATCCTTTAATCCTGTGTATTTCCATGTGAAGGCTGCATGAAAGACAGAGCTAAATCTTAGGTATTCCATATTCCATGACTATTCCATAACCCCCTCCTCTCCTCTATTAAACATCGTTTCTGAAATTATTCATCCATAATTTACACAACCTTCTCTAAATGTTATGCAGCAACAATTCTTTCTGAAAATAAAAATTAGAAGGAACATATCCCATTTTCACCATGTTTAAAAGCATTATTCGTTATGTGTAATCCACAACTGCCAATGAATATGACCTGGTGGGAATATTTCTCTTTTAATTCACACTGAAGCTTCTAATAGAATTTCCAATTGACATAGGGTCCATCCATGGATAATTGAAGTATTTTAGAGAGCTTTTAACCATCATCCATGCATTTGTAAAAAGAGGACAAAATATTTTCTGCAGTTCCATGACCCATAAATTGGGAGGTAAGATACTTAGTGCAAACTTTATTATCAATTCCTTACCATAATGTCCATCTGCTTAGATTGTAGAGACTGATTTAACGTCTCATCAAAGAGTACAGTGTAGCAATCAACATTCTTCAGCTCATTTATAAGAATCCCTTTGAAGTATAGTGCCAATCCAAAGGAGCCCAAATAGGCTCACTTTGTGGCACTACAAAAAAATTGTCTCGCTATACAGCTATCAGCAAACATTTTGGAGAACAATTTACTAATCCCTTCACAGGAGTTACATGAATAATTACTAGTGATGCACTTCAGACTCCAGAGAATTTCAGCATCAAGCACATTCCTTTTGACCAGATAAGAAGACAATGTTACCTCGGCCACTAAAGTTTCTGTTTCACATGGGGCACACGATGTTGAAGGAGTATTTACACCAGATGAATTAGATGTTGATGTCTTTGGAAAAAGAGAACTCAGGGCATGAGACTGCTTTTTTGTTTTACCTTTCTTTCATGTGTGATTTCAGAGCAGATTCTTCCATTTTCGCGATATCGATCTCCTTCATGCATAATCGGCACTTGGCTCTGAACTTCTTTTCGGGCATCGATAAAATCCATTCTTTATAAGCTTGATTATCCATCCATTGGGGATTAAAATAGCACTTCCCAGGCATAACTAGTCTAAACTACATAACACAAATACGAAGCCGTGCCTTTGCGAATACGCTTTACAATAAAGTTTTGAAATGACGCAAACGTAAGGACAAGTGCGGATGGTAAAACGGCAAATTTATTGAAAACTACAAGGTACATATTGTTACGAAATTCGAGAGTATTCCAGTTTCGATAAGAAAAAAGAAGATCTAAGCATATGCGACAGAAGATGAAGTGGAGTCTCGCCCCGAACGCATTGATTGTCTGCTGTGCTCCGCGCGCTTGGCAGACACCAAGACGCTAGGCCCGGTTAGAAACGGTGGCGTTAAAAACCACGTGAGAGAGCTCGGGAACAAAACAGAAAGATCCGCGGGTGTTTTATAAAAAGGGCCGCCGGCAGTATTGGACAAATTCAAGGACCTAAGACGTTTTTCAAGCACTTTCAAGGACCTAAATTTAGAAAAAAAAAATTCAAGGACTCTCAAGGACCGTGGGAATCCTGTTATCCTACTTCCAATACATCATAATTGTAGAATAATTGAACAATCGATTATGCTTGCATACCAATATTACTGATATAATATATGAAAGTACAGAAAGAGACTTTTTTTGGATGATATAAACACAAAACACAAATGAAAGCATACAGCTGTTTTGTTGAAAATTGATGACAAAAATGAGAACTAGTTTATTTCACTTTACAAAATATGAATTGACTAACCTGATTTATTTCAAGATCTAAAATGAGAACTTCTTTCGGATATAAAAGAAGAAGATGATGTCGATAGGTCTTGTGATAAGTGAGTGTGAGGCATTCTTGCAATGTAACTCCTTCCTCACTGAAGTAAAAATTCATTATTTCATCAAAGATTCTACAATAATATTTAAGAGGCTGTTTAAATATTACGTATGCACCTAGTTTAAGAAGGGGTTTTGCGATTTGTTTATTTTTTGCAAACAAGAGGAGATAAAGTATAAACCATGCTTATATAAGACATTAAAATTCTCGTATTTTAAAAAAATTCTTAAAAAGCTAAATTAAAATGTACCGAAAAAATACAAATTTTAAATTTGGAATAAAAGAAGTATTTAGAAGAATTAATCTTAGCCAATAGTTTTGAACAGGAAAGGAATATCTAAGGGATTCCCTGAGAATATTCAACTCAAAATTTTATAAAATGAGTTAAAAACATAAATTGTATCTTACACAAAACTACATCTTTTGTTTGATTTTAACCCAAAAACTGGATTACGAAAGTAAATGTCAAAACAAAAACCAGGAGAGGCAGTGTTCTGATTTTCATACATAAGTATGGAGGAGCAGGGGTGATAGTGAGCCCAAGTCAAAATTACGGAAAATTTCTCGAGTTAGAAAAAAAAAAAAAAAAAACAGTTTAAATTGAAAAAAATTTAAACAAGGTTTTTTTTGCCTTTTTCTCAATATTTCTTAGTTTACTTAAAATATATTTAAAATTTTACATATACCTATACCATTTACACATACCTATGATGACCTGGAGAAGTAATTAAAATTTACAAATATGTCTTTCTTGAGTTTATGATTATAATAACTATTTACTGATAAAAAATTAATATTAATCATGAATATAAGCTTATAAAGTATCTGGCTCTCCCTTACAGACAAATAAAATAAATTGTGTTTTTAAGTTCCACCTTTGAAAATTTGGTTTCCAGAAACTTATGTGATCAATGATTTTTTGAAACACCTGGACCTTCGTTCTCCGGCTTATTTTTGTTGAAAAGGGAGTGGCGGAGCCAGAAATAGTCTAAAATATGGTTAAGTAATATTTGAACAGCCCCTAAATTTAAAATATTTATTTTAGAAATTTAAATAAGTATAAAAAGGTAATAAAGGCACTAAAAAGGGGAATAACAAATAAAAACTAATGTAATTAACAAGGTGGGAGAGAATAAAAATCGAAACTTTAAGAATTTTTGCTACTTAATAATGCCAAAATTTTAAAAAGTTCATCATAAGATAACTGGGACAAAGTTGCATTTTAGAAATTTTTTAAATTATTTTTATGCAGTGGTAGGCTATAAGTTTCAATAAAGTTTACTGAATGAATGAATTCCAAGAAATATTTTTCCCTGAGAAAAAGAATGAAATAATTGTCTGTTATGTTTTGGTTGATCTGCCATTTCGAATATAACACAAATAACTTTAAATGTCAATTTGCTTAGTTTGAATTACTTAATTTACGAGGGGGAGATTAAATTTAGTTAAAAAAATTATTACTATTTCAATATATTTTGATTTCTATTTTTTTTAACACATATGTTATTTAAACAGAGAAGGGCTCACTCAAATATTACATAAGCACCATATGAGGGGTGTGATCTGCTTATTTTTGCTGATAAAGGGGAGGAGGAGGAGCAAGAGCAATGCCTGTGTAAGACATTAAAATCTCCTTAATTTCAAAATTTTCTTAAAATGTAAAATAAAAATATAACAAAAAAAAAATTGATATAAATTAAAATGTGGATTAAAAATTGAATTCAGGGAATTAAAAAATTAGAAAAAGATTTCCTTGGAGAGTTTCAGAGGTTAGCAGTTTGAACACAAAAGATTATTGCAGAATACTTCCATTCACATTTTTAAAAAATGAATAAAAATCTAAAATTTGTTTAATGCAAGGTTTCTTCCATTTGAATTTAACTTAAAACTTCTTTTTATTTGAATTTAATCTTAAAACTAGATTACGGCAGTAAAAGCATAGCAAAAACAAAAGAAGCTTGTGTAAGTGTTGAAGCTTGTGTATATAAGCATGGAAGGATGTTAGTGAGTTGCTTATTTTTGCTTAAAAGGGAGAAGGGAAGTCTAAAATTGCCAAAAATATGCTTATGTAATATTTAAACAACCCCGAATTGTGTAATATTAAATAAGTTATTTTTTTCATTAAGAAAGTTATTATTAAAAAAATTTAACAATACATAAATTTTACTTTCTAAAAATATTTTGAAAAAGTTTTTGTAACTGAAAAAAAGTACTGTAATTTTAGGGAAAATTTCAAACCAGAAAAAAAAAAAAAAAAACTGTGTACAACAGAAATATTTGGCTCTGAGAATTTTTGCGTCCTTGCCATGAACTAAAAATTATAAATAATTTTTTTGTCACAACATAAAAAATTTGCCTACAAAGCGGAGCAAGTTGACTGCCCTATATTAAGGAATCATGCATCATGGGGGAGAAAAATGTCATTCTAAGTAAATTTATTTGTCCCTTAAAAAATTACAACAAATATATTATTTAATACTTTTATTTTGTACTATAGTCAAACCTCAAAATTTTTAACTTGAAGGGAGACACTAAAAATGTCATGATATTGAAAATTCAGGATATCAATAAACAAATATTGAATACTTTTTAATAGTCCAGTCAAAATAATAACTTAAGTGACTTTTTAAAAGCTGTATGACATGCATTTACTTAAAAAAAAAAAAATAATATTTAATTCTGTGAATTTAAAATGCATGTAAGGTGGATTGAGTTAAACTCTTCACTGCAAATTATTTCTTACATTTTCAATTTATTTAAATATTCTATTTTCTATGAAGAGATTTTTTAAATTATTCTTTACAAAATGGAAACAAAAAATACTTAATAATTATAACATTTGATAATAAAAATAATAAAATTTCAGAAAAAGAGACACATTACAAGATATTTCTCAATAATTATTAAAATGATTAAAACCATGTTTAAAATAATTATTGTAAACAAAAACTAAGGAAAAAAAGGAACTAAAACAGACATATGAAAAAAAGAACTACATTTACTTCATATCTCTACTTTATTTTCGAAGATTCAAGCATTGGCTGCAAACTATTAAGCTAAAATTAAACATGGAAACTAGCCTTTCAGTCACCAGTGCAAAACTGAATTGAATGTAATGTAAAACTCAATAACACAAAAGATAGAATTTGCTCTACAAAGACGATCAACATTACATTTTCAAAGTAAAATAAAACAAACAAACCAATTTATGCTATTTCAACAAGCTTTAAATATTTATTATAAAAAGTTTATCAAAACTTCATTAAATAAAATATTTCTACAGTAAACAAGTTCATATTATTAATCTTACCAGAATTTTTTCACAAACCAAGTCTTAAAAATTGGCAAACAAACGAAGTCAGTTATGATCAAGAAGCTAAGTGAGCAAAGGGAAGAACCAACACCTCCTAGAAAAGAGAAGGCTTTTGCACAGGGCTACCTTAGATAATAAATACGATCCCTTAGTAGTCTGATCGTTATGGCATCTTTCTTAATTACCCCTACTACGTAATTTAGAAGTCAGAAGATTGTGACATCATTCCATTCTTATTCTGCTTCCACTGAGCAGTATACGTTTGTTTCTTCAAACTACTTAAGTGATCTGTGCTAAGGCCTTCTCTTTTCTAGGAGGTGTTGGCATAACCCTCTAGTTTAATATTAAAGATAATAAAAATTACATTTTGTAACATCAATTTGAAAAATTCTTTTTACCTAGTTTTTGAGTCAGATTTAGACAGAAGCCATATTCTTTTCGTTAAAGTATTTCTAGTGACAGCTTTCACTTTTCCTTCAGCTGCAGAAGTACTGGATGAAGGATTGGAAATACAGAATTTACGGCCATTACTGGATGGAGTTTTAACTAAGTTGAAGTCATCAACAAATAAAATGCAATCTGATGCTAAAACTAAATTTAAAAAAAAAAAAAAAAAAATACATAAATTGTTAAAAGCATATGACATGAACAAATATCAAATTTTTAATAAACTTTCCATACATCTATTTAGTATGCTTCACAAAATTTGTTAAAAAAGTTCAAAGCTCAGAGTTCGGATGGTCTGTATTTTCGAAACTTACGGAATTCAGACGTTATGTTAGCCAACATAACGTCTGTGTCCACCTAATGAATAGAAGCTACAGGACCAAAATTATAAAAAAAATCATAATAATACATTTGATTCCATCCAAAACCTAAGTGGTGTAAGGTTTTTAAAATCTTGATATTTCAATACCATATTATTATACGCTAGAAAGTAGTACTACGACAATAAAAATTTAGCAATCTCTTTTAAACTCATTCATTTCCCAATGATACAGGGTGCGTTCTGAAAGTAATGCGCATGATTTTATTGTGACGCGACTATTGAGGTGGGGGATTTGTCCTTCCAAACAAGCCTGGTCTCAGGTCGCTCCGAGCAGTAGGCCGTGTCTTCGCGCAAAGTCTTTTTTCGATCGAGTCACGGCGTGGTGGAGTGTTCGTTCGCTGGAACAGCGGTACGCGATAAAATTTTGTGTGCGACTAGGGAAGAATGCAAAGGAAACTCATCACATGCTTCAAGACAACTGCATCACATGCTTCAAGACAGGAATGCATTTCAAGATCTCAGTGTGGAAGGTGGCACAAGGCCTCCAAGGAGGAGCGGGAGAAGGTCCCCGGCGAGACTTGTTCTGAACGCCCAACAACAGCCCGACCCGATGAAAACGTTCAGCGTGTGCGTGAAGTTTTGAAGTCAGACAGTCGGTTAAGCATTCTGGTAATCGCTGACACCCTAAACTTATAAAAATGTGTGGTACATGGGATTGTAACGGAGGATTTGCAAATGCGAAAGGTCTGTACGAAGCTTGTGCCGAAGGAGTTGACGGAGGAGCAAAAGGAAGTTTGAGTTTTGCGCTATGAAGAATTGCTGGAATTGATGAGTTGGTGCCCCAGCCTCCCTATAGCCCTGACTTGGCGCTGTGTGACCTTTTTTTGCTCCCCCGACTGAAAAGAGAGCTGAAGGGAAAGCACTGGGAGTCGGTGGAGAACATCCAAGCTCATGTTACAAGGTTCCTGAGAGGCATTCCTGTCGAGGAGTTCCAGGATGCCTTCCAGACGTGGCAGAATCGTCTCCGCAAGTGTATTGGTGCACAAGGGAACTATTTTGAAGAATTTTAACCATTTGTACCCATAGGATCAATAAATCTATTTTTCCCAAAAAATGCGCATTACTTTCAGAACGCACCATCATAAAACCACGGTTTTGTGAACCACTTTTTCAGCAGTTAATGCTACAGATTGGCACATAGTATTTATAATCAATTATTTTTCTCATGCGATGTTATCATGACGCACAAATTTCTGCACCCAATTTAAAATTGATTGTGCTTATTTTTCTCATCACGATAATTTTTTTTCCCTGAATATTGAAAGTTTACTAATTTTTCGATTCTGGAGTTTCAAGGTTAGACTGTAGAAGATAAATAATAGAGCTACAAGTTCCAAAACTGAATAAAAGCCTTGAAAAGTTTTTCTTAGGTATAATTTCAAAAATCCTTTTTTTTCTCTTAATGTTTTATTCAAAGAGATATTAATGATCAGTATCAATCACTGCTAAATATTTAAATGAAATTTTTGTTGGAAGTTTAATAAAATCTAGAGCAGTGGTTTCCAACTGGCGGCCCCTGAACTAAAATATATTAGTTGTCATTTTTTTGCAGACAATTTTCGTAAAAAATCTATATGGGTTTAAAATAGTTCTCGTTAATAAAAACCTAATTTCTTCGTTTCTGTGAAATTTATCACACTAACGGTGCAAAAAAAAATTATTTCTCAGGTTTTGCATCCAAGAAAATATTTATTCAAATACAAAAATAATCGTGTATGTTGCTCTTTTTTATTTCATTTTTTTTTGTATTTTGTGAATATAATTTAGTATGTGTGTATCAGAAATTTTCTCGAAGAAATTCTTCGATTTAACTTTCTGAAACCACTCATTTTGGATGAAAATATTTACACACACATTTGTACATTTTAAATTTAAAATGTAAATATTTATTCTCTGGTGGTTGCAGCAGACAAACCTCAATTTTGTCCTTGAACATTTTGTGTGCTACTATGTAAGTTTTAATACCAACTTTTTTAAAGTTTTATATATTAACAATTAGATATCTGTTGCACATTTATTGTTTAAAACATGGGTGCACATTAAAGTTATCGTAGCCCGAATTTTTTAATATGCAATTAAATATTTTTAAAAATCTACTTCTTATTTTAATTTGTAGTTCAATAACTTCATTTTGTACAACTTGGTAAAAATCTGACACAGGAATGAGATTGGCCAAAAGGCAAAAAAGCTGAATTTTCAGGCAAGTAAATCTTATGAGCGTGCAATCATTTAATAATAAATTCCAGACAATTTAAGATAATAAATAACTATGAGTTGATTTAAAATTAATTGTGTACCAATTTATTAATATATGAATTACATTGACACTTAACATTTAGTAAAAAGTAAAATTACAAATTAAAAAAATAAAGCTAGAAATTATATTTTTCTACAGTCACAAAGGAGACAATTATTACTTGAGAATGTCTAGTTTAGCACATTAAACTACTCTGAGAACATACTTTAATATTAAATTTTTTTTAATAAATACTATTACGTGATTTATAGTAAAAATATCAGCAACATATTCTCATCCAGTTTCGCTGATGTTGTAATATACATACCAGGGGTGGCCAACCTGCGGCTCTTTGAAGGATTATTTGTGGCTCTTGATAAATGTACTCGAGTTCCCTTTTCATTTTTGTGCTATTATATTTTTAAAAAATTATTATCATTCCGTATGTGTTTCAAAATGTCTTTTCAATTACTGAGAACAAATATGAAAGACTAAGTGCAACATTGTCCAATTCAAGGTGAGTTTTCCATTTCCAATATAATTATGACCTAAAAAGCATCTGGAGAATTAGAATTAATAGAGATCTAAGAAAATCAAGCTCTACAATAAGTCGACGTTGATTACTGAATTTTGGAAATTTGTACCAGAATCGAATTATCCTGAATTAAAAAAGGCTGATTGTAGAATTATTTCAATATTAGGAACAACATACTTATGGGAATCATTTTATTCCACTTTAAAATTCGTGAAATCCAAACAACAATCAGTATTAATTAACCAGCATCTCAAAGAATTACTGAGAAGTGCTGTCCCAAATTATTCTTCATATTTTAAAGAATTATCAAGAAAAGTAAAATAAATGTGTTCAGTTTTTAATATTTAAATTCAATACACATATTTTGTACTGTTATGTTCTCAATAAATATAATTTATGTAAAAAAGTTTTTTTCTTAAATACCTTTTAAATATGTATTTAATTGCGGCTAGCAAAAATTTCAAATTTTGAAAAATGGCTCGACTCTCAAGTAGCTTGGCCACCCGATATATACCAATAATCATCGATAGAACTGCCACCTTTATAGTAACTAATTCAAGAAAAAAAACTTTTTTTACAAGAATTGCGATCTTGGATTTCAAAATCGCGTGAATATGGATCCCGATATTGGACTTTGAAATCACGTGAATATGAAACTCGATATAGGATTTTAAAAATGTTAAAATATCGAATCACAATTGATAATTTCTATAACGCGTGAATACGAATCCAAAGCCTAATTTTTAAATCGTGTGTAATTATGAAAATCGATGTTTGATATTACAACCACATATTTAATTTTAAGTTTGAGCGAATACGAATCGCTATATAGGATTTTAAAAAGGCGTAAATACAAATCGCGATATTGGATTTTTAAATCTAGCAATCGAGAGAATTGCAATGTACAATGTTGAAATCGCATGAATAAGAATCGCAATGCACAACTTTTATGAAAATTCGAGCTATCTGGCAGACAGGTAAAAATGCGAAAAATCTTATTTTCTGCTTGTAAAAGCGGAGAAAATAGCTAAAATAATTAAAAATGCGGAAGGATTGGCAGCTATGTAGCTGGAATTTTCTGTTTATCTTTGAAGATCGGAAATAAATGTATTTATTTCATTTCAACGGTTGAATTTTCAGAAAAATTTTTATATTTATTAAAAAAAACCTAACTTTTAGAGAATCAAAGTTTTTGATAAAAAGACTGAAATTCAAGAGACAAAAGAGAAAAAGACGGAAATACGCCAAAAAGCGGAAAAATCTCATCCTTGCTGACAGTAATATTTAATGTTCCTTCAAACATAAAAGAGTCCTACATAAAATTTTGATAAAGTTGAGGCCCGCCATTTGATTTGTGTTTTTAATTGTGGCCCCCGGCCTCATTTAAGTTGGAAACCCCTGATGTAGAGGTTATGAGCGGTATTTTATGACTGTCAAACCTAATTGAATACCATGTTATAGTGTATTCAGTTTATCAACTCAATTGAATGCACTGAATATCAAATGGAAACCAAAATCAGGTGCATTATATCCTTATTTTACACAACCCTAATATTATAAAAAAAACATGATTTAAAAAAATAGAAAAAAATGATGAGATATTTTATGAGTTTAAGCTTCATATTGCAAAGGCAAGCATCCGGATAAAGTTTAATCAAAATATCATATTAAAAACAATACATTTGAACTAATTAAATATGCTTACAAGCAATATTTCTGATTGAAAATGGATCAAAAGCAAAAGAAAGTAATGTTTCTGTATAGGATTTCTTCCATAACTTAGCTCCAGTTTCTGTATTCCACAATACTATAGAATATGGTGGATGTAGACCTAAGAGTAGATTTTGGCACAAATCTTCACCTGGAAGCCATTCTATATCTGAAAATAAAAAAACAACTAGTAAAAAAAGAACTTCATTTATAAAACCAAAAAATCAATCACGTAAAAATCTACTACATAATTCCTATTTATCCCTAATATTGTGCAAAGTCATGTTGAGGGTGAAAAAATCTTACCAATTGCAGCTTTTCCGGGCTCAGAAAATGTTGTCATTGGTTTTCCTTCTTTGACATCCCAAATAACTATTAAACCACCAGAATCTAAAGATGCTAACTTCAATGAATAAGGATGCTGAAGATCATGGTAGTAATTTTCCCGAGCCCATTTTACCTACAAAATATCTTGACATTAGATGTAATATTAGAGTAAATATTTAGATATCAGACCTTTTATTATGGTAAACATTTAGACATTATATTATAGTACACATTTAGACATAATATCAAGATAAATATCTAGACATTAGAAAAATAAATATATAGATATTAAATGTAATAATAGGGTGAAAAATATACAATCATTATGAAAAATTGTATACGTATCAAGGAAATTGTTTATTTATTTAATTGTAACTTACTTTACTTAATTATTACTATAATTTAATAAAAGATAAAAGCAGTGTTTAATTAAACTATTAGATAATATTAAATGTAAGCTTGTAAAATAATTACACGATAATAAATTAAAGCTTTTACTGTTGTTGTCAGGGATGAGATTGGCCAAAAGGCAAAAAAAGCTGAATTTCCATGTGAGTAAATTTTACTTGTGTGCAATCGTTTAATAATAAATTCCAGACAATTTAAGATAACAAACAACAAAAATTGCTATTTTAGTTTGAAAAAATTACATGATAATCAGCAACTGTTTGGATAATTATTTATCATATGATAAGAATTTCGCATTTTATATCATAAATAACAGCAGCATTATTTCTTAAATTTCGGTGCTGAGTTAAAAAACTCTTTTTCCACAAAAAATTGAATAATTTTTTAAGTGATTGCTTTTGTTTGCAACATCTTTTTTTTGTGCTTAATTTCCTGCAAACGCTTCATGTTTTACAAAACCAGCAAAAAATCCTTTAACAAGGTAAAATTTATCATAATGCAGCTTGTGAATGAGGGGAAACAGATTGGTGATTAATTTAGTCGTTAGCCCATCTTCAAACATCTTTTCACACATCCTATTTTTTGTTTCTTTACCTGCCTTTGTCACATTCTTCTTCGCAAGCACAGAATGTAAGTTTTGAATATGCCTATATATGCTAATAATTGTTGATAGAAAAACAGTCACATTTGTAGTAACTAATTTTAAAAAACCTACTTCTTACAAGAATCGCGATAATTGATTTAAACTCGTGTGAATACGAATCGTTACATAGGTTTTTAAAAATGAGTAAATACAAATAGTGACATTGGATTTTTAAATCTCGTAAATAAGAATCATATTGTAATATATTCAAATCGCGTGAATAAGAATCGAAATGTTAGCAAATTCCGGGCTTGAGACTTTTAAAAAGCTTGAAGTACAAAAATACGAACTATCTGGCGGGCGGGTAAAAATGAGGAAAATCGTATCTTCTGTGCGTAAAAGCGGCGAAAATAGCTAAAATGTAAATATGTGGAAGGATTGACAGATATGTAGGTTGAATTTTCTGTTTATCTTTGAAAATCGGAAATAAATATAATTCTTTTATTTCAACGGCTAAATTTTTCGAAAAAGCAAAATCTTTATTTAAAAAATTTTTTTTAAAAAAGAGAAACTTTTAGATAATCGGAGTTTTTGATAAAAAGGCGGATATTTGAGACACAAAAGTAAAAAAAGCGGAAATCCGCTAAAAAGCGGAACCCTCAGGAAATCAAAAAACAAGATCAGGTCGAGCAGAAAATCCTCCTTTTCAAAATCCACACAGCTAAGGAGGTGGGCCGGGCTGACTGCACTGGAGAAACATATGTTGCAGGTGGGATAGATCTTTCGCTGTTGTTCATACCTCACGCACTTAATAAAACTTTAACTATATCACATTAATTAAGATAATTTACTAATACATTATTATTTTTTTCAATTTTCTTTCGAATTTAAAAAAAAAGGAAACTTCATGAAAACAACAAAACGTCTGTAGAATAATCCATTGAATTAGCAGTCTCCAACCATTTAAGTCCACATCAATAAATCTGGGAAATCAGAAAAAAAATCCTGACTTTTCTCATATTTTGGTCACACATTGAAGATTACAATGAGATTTAATTTTCATTTAGTAAAATGACATTTTATGCAGCAATTTAATTTCCGTTTAATTTTATTAATTCAAAAGACAAAATAATATTACTTTAGTGACATCTGTAGCATGCCTTTCCAAAGTTTGAAAAGCCTAAAAACAGAAAAAAGAAAAATGGTTAAAACTAAAACACTGAAGAAAAAAAAAAAAATCATAAAAGGTGAATCTATTATTGTAATGAAAGTTTCAAGTAATTTTAAAAATGTGAGAAAATAATGAAAGCAAGTAACAGTTATTACACAAGATTATTCTAACATAAGTATATTTAAAAAGAATATTTTTTTATTTAAAGGATAAATGAGAATTGTCTATTTAACTTTGCTTATTCGTTAAATTTAAAACAAATAAGATAATAAAAGTTATATTGATTTAAAAATTACCATAAAACTTAATTGGTTTTAACTTAATTATCACTTTAATATATAAAATTAGAGCAAAAACTCACAATTTGAAAAGATTATTTGCTAATTAATTAACTTAGGCAATGAATTAATTTACAGGAAGACAAATAAGATAGTACAAAAGCATTTCCTCTAGATCTTTTCCCAGTACCTGGTCCCAGTTAAGATTACACTAGTTTATATATACGTTCATGTTCATACTCCTCATTTAGATGAAGAAAAAAAAGATACTTATAAGTTTTATGAAACAAAATAAATTTATCAAATACAATATTTAAATTTTTATGAGCCAATTAAGAAATGCAAAATAAATTTCATATATATATAATATATATTAAATATAATATAATATATATTAAAAATAAAAAAAGCAATTAAAATTAAATTAAATATGACTAATAATGCTACTTTGAAAATCAAAATAAAAGTAGAACCAAATCAAAACATAATCCCTTTATGCTCAATAGACACTTATTGTTCAGGAGACCAGCAATAATTATTTAACTGATGTTCAAGTCAGATTTTCGTAGTTTAGGACAACCATTAATTTCAAGCCCTGATGATCTTTAGGTAATAAATAAAATTAAATCAATTATGATTTTGATGTATAAAAAGTTTATATACTTAAATATAACTAAAAAAATTACCTTAATATTTTCTGTGTCAACAATTACAATATGGTTATGACATCCATATGCAAAAAATGACTGCCAGCCCCTGAAACAAATATTATATGTGTGTGTATCATAAGTAAAATTACATAGTATTTAAGATCTTACACAGATATAATTTTTTATAACTTTAATGTGCTGGTTATATAGAATAAGATTGTAATTCCTAGCATCAAATTAATAAGGAACTGATCATGTTTTAGTTTTTCTTAATCTACTATTTTCTATAAACAAACAATGATAATCAACAACTTTTATTTTCCCATAGGAACTCAATTTCTGTCCTTATTATTTTTTTTAATTACAGTTCATATCAATAATTATTAAAATTTTTTGTGGATATATAAGATAACTTTTCTTAAACGGACTTTTCGAGCTGCATCCATTTTCTTAAAAACATGTTTCGAGTTGTGTTTATTTTCTTAAAAACATGTTTTGAGCTATGTCAATTTTCTTAAATATTCCTTTTAATCTATGCCAGTTTTAAACACTCATTTCAGGCTATTTCTAATTTATTAAACATGCATTTTGAACTGTGTATGGAATAAAAGCTCAGTGGTGATGTTTTGGTTTGCCGGAATGATACAGTGGGATTTACCTTTTAAGTGTTTTCCATTCTGCGATGTTCTTTTTTAGTTACTACTGATTCAGTCCAGTTGTCACATTACTTGAATTATTATTAAAATATTCCCCAATATTATGAAAAGTTTTAATTAGGTAGTAAATCCTATTTTTCCTTAAGAAAAGATTCCCCTATCAGTATCTATTAAAATGAACAACAAGTTTTGCCACTTCAGGGTTGTGGCTAGAAAACTAATCCTTTTGGCGCAGTGGTGGGCACGAATAGACACCAATAATGAAATCTTCCCCCTGTAACAATAGAAAATGTAGAAATTTCCATATTGGGATCTGTCCCAGCAAACTGCAATCACTAAAGAGATTTAAACACATAATTTTATTATAAAAAATCAAAAAGAAAAACTGCAGAAATTTGTCTGGAGGTGGTTACAAGCTTTATCCTTCAAATTGGTCCCCTACTGTTTTTTTCTTTCTTATTTCTCACAGTGTGGTGTCCAGAAGTTGCCAATACTTGACACTTATTCTTCTGTAGATGACAATGCAGAAATGTTCCTAAAAATAAAATAAGCAGGATGATTTCCGTATCCTGTTTTGTGGCAGAATAATTGTCAAGTCTTGGCAATTTCCGGACAATGGCCGGAGAGAAAATAAAAAAAAAGATGTCACAGAAAAAGACCAACTTTAAAGGTATACCTCACAGCCTCCCAAGGCAATTGTCTACATGTCTTTTTTTTAAAATTCACAAGTTTAAAATCTACTTGACACTTATGGCGATTGTAATAAGCAGATTACGATACTGAAATATCTCCAAATAATCACCAAGCATCTTCCGAGCTGCGGTAGTAGAAACTCAAAAAAAAAAAAAAAAAAAAAAAAAAAAAAAAAAAAAAAAAAAANTTTTTTTAAAAAAAAAAAAAAAAAAAAAAAAAAACAGAAAAGGTAAAATTTATTACCCCTGGGTACAAATATTCAGGCGTTTTTTTTCTCTTTCTAAATTTGAAAATTTCATATCCATTTGACATTTTGGAGAGTGTAGTTGGTGCGACAGATCACGATTTACAAACTATCTCAATTAAGCTGCATAAAAGAAATTTTAATCATATTTCCAGTCTAAATAAAATAGTCTTTAAGATAACATGAAATCAACAATTAATAAACACATACCAATCTAAAGCTCCTTTATTTGCACCAGATAGAACTCCAGTTATACATCTAGGGGAGACACGTTGGATAATTGGTGTAGTCTTCTCCTCAGAACTTTTTGGTGAATCCACACTCAAAGACATTTTAACAAATTATATTATAAATAATCACAGTTTCTCGACAATTTCGTTTTGAAACGTTCAATAATTTCTCCACCATTGAATTCCTTTCAAAGAAATTTCTAAAACTAGAAAAATGTACAGTTCACGACAACAAAATTAGCAGATGAATGTACAAAAACGAAATAACATCACATTCTTTCTTGGACTCAGCCCACGTAAATCCCTGTTTAACGTTCATAAACATTTAGAAGAAAACAAGTTAGTAAGAAGTTATAAATAAAACATTGAAAATGAAAATATCCGAAAAAATATCCTAACTTCAAAAAGTAGTAATGTTTATTTATTTGGCTTGAAATATCATTTGTTTCCGTTTTCACAGTGCTGTCATAAGCCAGTTTTTAGTGATGATTTTATAATGCTTAGACCTAACTCTCTTAATTCACGAATCTGATATTCGAAAGATCAGTTCCATGGTTTGACCCTTTTATTTCATGAATTTTCATTTGTTTAGTTATCAATTTATACTTAAAAAACAATCGGCTGACAATTTAAAAGAAAAAATTGGTTTAATAGTTTCATTATAAAATATCGGTAATGTTGTTGTTGTTGTTAATTTACGTCGCACTAGAGCTGCACAATAGGTTTTTGGCGACGGTCTGGGAAAACATCCCGGAGGATGATCCGAAGACATGCCATCACAATTTTGATCCTCTGCAGAGGGGATGGCACCCCCGCTTCGGTAGCCCAACGACCTGCGCGCGAAGTCGAGCACTTTACGGTAGCACAGTTTAACGAGGACCAATACCGCACACCCTCGGTCCCTACGCAGACGGATCCAAGTGGTCACCCACGAGCACAATGACCGCAGCCAGTGATACTTGACTTCGGTGATCTGCTGGGAACCGTGTCTTAACGATCAGTCCACTGCGGGACTGATGTAGTTTAAACTGCTAAACTAAACTCAGCGGCACGACAGCCCATAGAGGGCCAAGGCGCCAAGGCCTACTGTGCCCAATTCAGTTTTCTTGACTTTGGGCTCTGGGGTGCAGGAGCAGATGTTCCGGTCAGGTGGTCAGCCGAGCACGGAGCCCCCTGAGTTTAGTTCTCAAGCATGCTTGGTACTCATTTACCGTCCCACTGAAGGGATGAAAGGCTAAGTCGGCCTTGCCCGGCCCGAGGATCGAACCAAGGACCTGTGGCACGACAGTGCGAAGCGCTACCGCTCAGTCACCGAGCGTCAGTTTAAACTGCTAAAAATGTTAAAAAAAATTAAAAGAATGCTATAAAAAAAAAAACGGAAAAAAGAACGAGTGTTTTCCAGTGGATCCAGGTTAAAAATCTTTACTAAGCATTAAACTACACTAATAATTAGGGAAAGATTTTTACGTTATTTTGTTAAAAAGAACTGAACTTAAATAATGTGATGATTTTTCATAAAAAAAGTGTTAGCTAATGAAATAATTTGAATATTTAAGTTCACCAACATCAATTATTGCAAAAAATAAATTTTTCTAGGGTGCAATACTAAAAAAATTTTTTTTTGATCATTTGAAAATAAAAATCATTTTTCTGAACCTATAATTATTCTTAGACAGTTAAAAAGTTTGAATTTATTATTTACTCTCAGCAATTAGCGTCAACCTTACTAACTCACTAGTCATAGTTATTCAAACATACATTTTAATTTATTCTTATACATACTTTTGTAATATTTATAACGCAAATTTTCTTTCCCTTCATATATATATATATGTGTATATATCCNTAATTATATATATGTAGCGGAAAGAAATTTTGAGATGAAAAAAATACCGTGGTACAGTGTCCTCTAAAAGTGCACTGCAGAAAATTCATACCGACATTCAGTGTGCCAGTACTTTCTGCCATAAAAATCATTTTTACTGCAATATTTTACGGAACAAAAAATCTGACAAGCCGAAATTTGTACTGTAATATTCACTGTGAAATTGTTGAATCACTGCAATTAAATATATATTACTATAAAAATTACGTTAAAAATTTTTTTACTTAAAAAATGGATTTTATTAGAAAATGGAATTTATAGAGGTTGAACCAGAGAGCCTATAATTTTTACGACAATTTGATCCAAAATTTTTTAAAGAGTGCATTCTATGTATGCATAAAAGTGACACATTAGCTCATAAAATGGATTTCATTGCTTTAAAAATGGTTGTGAAAATAACCATCTGCATGACGATAAGAATTTTATTTGCCTTTTTCGACACCTACATAAGAGTCAAATGATGCACAATTGTTAATGAATTAACCAGGAAAAAAAGTATCTCTTCTGAATTTTTTTCAATGAAATATTAGTAAGGAATCATGACACGAGGAGGTAATCTCAAATATGCTAATTAATTAGTGCAGACGTTATTTTAAGCTACGAAATCAGAAACAAAAACGTACTTTCTCTGTAATATCATATACTCTTTTTTTTGGACGATTCGGATGCCAGGCCCCCAAAATATAGGAAATACCCAAAATTCTGCACCAGCAGTCTGGGTGCAAGGGTTGAACTCATTAAAGTTAATTTTACTTTATACGTATTTCGCCGTATCTCGAGAATAAGTAATTGAAAATTTTTTGCACACAATTGTAAAATTAGTTTATCCAAAGATAATTTAATGCAAAAAATAACTTTCAGCAAATATTTATAATAGTTTATTATTTTATTTAATTATATAGTCGAAAAGAGTTTGAATAGTTAGGTACACAATTTTTCACATCGTTTTAAAAAATGCAATTTTGCATGGCAAAATACGAAATTTGAGCGAAATCGGTCGTATCGTATCGTATTTTTAAAATAAGACTTTAGAGGTGCGTGGAAAAGTAGTGTATTGGGAGCATTGGAATGAATTTTCTATCTTATCGCACGATAAAGACGAAAATAATTTAAATACTTCTGCTGCCTACTAAGCTCATACTTATGGTGGTTAGTGTGGTTAAAGGACTGCCTCACAGACTTTAAATTATTACTAAAATTCAATACATAAAGAACATTGACAATATCGTGGACACCTCGCGAAAACATCAAAATTGAAATCAAAATACTTGCGTGTGGGCGAACAAAGCCGCGGGCAACAGCTAGATGGTAAAAAAATTTGCTTCATGTAATTTTCAAAACTAGTAAACGATATATTAAATAACTAACCTCAAAATAATAATTAAGTTGCAACAATTCTTACTCACTAGTTAGTTTTTAAAACAAAGGTGTTAAGATTAGAGGAAAGTTTGAAGAATTGGAATATGTATAAATACAGCTGTGTTTTTGGCATTCGGCTTAACTACCATAGGATTATAAATGCTAAACTTATTATTCTGAAAGGTGACCTATCTGGTCGCAAAACGCGGTTATTATATGAATAATAATCTACCCTCCAAGTTTTATAAGATCTGTGACCAAATTGATCAGAATGCGAAGAGACCGAGCGTGTGGAATATCGGTGCTCGTAAAACTGCTCTACGTAAAGTGTTCGATACATGGGTGAAAGCCCTTATATAGCAAGACGGAAAAGAGAAAAACCTGGTACGTAAAACATTTCATTCCAGCATTTTTTTCGAAAAAAATGAAATATCTGTAACTATCAAGATTTCTTTTATAATTCTGGCATACATATAAAATTGCTTCTTTTCCAAGATAAAGTAGATATTGTTGAAAAATTTAAAAAAAGAATAAGTAAACCCCTCCCCAAAACTAGCTATAACTGAAATGGTTTTACTACCAGCCTTTCCTCTTTTCCGTCTCGCTTTCACCCCTGGTTCGATATTGCGCGCTGGTAGTCTTGGTACCGAAGTCGTGTTTTTTTGAGTTTTTAGAATAAAATTATTTTAAATGTACTGCCTCCTCGATTTAAATGTTCGTGCTATTCAGAAAGTTGTTTATTTTTGAGAGTCTGTGTTAAAACTTTAACAAATATAAAGCTTATTACAAAAAATAAGTGTATATTGATGAAAAAAATGTTTACATATATTTCGATGTACGATTTTCATGGCTTTTGTTTTATCTGACGTCATGCGTTTGATGTTTATCATGCTGCGGAAACGGGAGTGAACCTAAAAAAGCTCATTTGATGCCCCCAGATAGAACATGCAAAACGGCTACAAGGTTAAAAGGCACCATATGGTCACCGTTTCGCTTGTTGTGTCCACTTAATAATACAATGACACACACCCATTTTAAATTGTTAATGTAGGGATACTTTTACTTTCATTTAACTGCATTTTCATTATTATTTCTATCATAACTACTTAAGAATTTACAAGTTATTTCTGTTACGTAGCTCTTTGTGTTCCTTTTGTTCATCAGTTATCTTTTTGGTATATTTTGAGAATAAACTCATGAATTTTAGTGATAAAGGTTTCTTTCTCTTTTTTTTAAAAAAAATAAAGAAGTAAAGAACTTTTTCTCTTTCCTACTTTTTTAATTGAAAAAAATAATAATAAAATATTTTGCTAGGGCCGCAATAGCTCAGTGGTTAAGGCACTGAACTGTCATAATGGAAAACTAGGGTTCGATCTCCTGTGGCAGATTAAAACCCATCCATCTTCAGATAGGAGGGTACCAGCCTGTGTTCAATGCTGACTATATTGTCGCAATCATGCCGATGGATACGAAATTTGAAGTTTAAACCTCCATGACCGCCTTGGCCCACAACGGGCTGTTGTAAAAACACCACAATTGACTTCATCAAAATAAGGCAGTTTCTTATAGTTTTTAATTAATAATTTATCAAAGCTTACAATTTCTTATGAATGATAAAATAACGGTTCTTTTCCATTTTACCTGTCCTAGTAAATTCATCTATTGCATTTATTTTTATATTTATTGTTAAAAATAGCGATATTTCCGTATCGTGATCTGTCGCTCAAAATGGATTTTAAATCTTTTTTAAAAAAAAATGCATTTAAAGGTTTACCTAGGGTTGGCTAGGAGTTAAACCCTTCGAATTAGTCCCGTTCCCCCCTTTTTTCGCAGGTTGCTGCTGGATGTTTCCGAAATTTGACGATTATTCTGTCGTATACCATGATACAGAAATACGGATTCTCAAATTAGCTGTCAACTGAAATAACAATAGAACTTAATCACTTGGAAAAACAGTAGAACTTAATCACTTGGGCAGGTGAAATGGAAAAGTACTAAATTATCCACTTATTTGAAAACTTAAAGCAAGGGAATAAAAACAGAGAGTCAGAATTTTTTTTTTGTGTTTTTTTTATTTATAATTATTTTATTAATATAATGATTTTTTAAATAATTTCTTTTACAATAGTCACGTTGTTATGAATTTTCCTTTCTAGAAATTGAATTGATCTTCTGCAGCTTTGTAATTTTTATCTTCTAATGATATAAATTTTTTTTATTTTTTTATTTTTTATT